CCTGACGTGACGATTCTCCACTTTTTAGGAGTGAATTACTGCGACATACGATTTATCATTTTTTAGTTCACCCGTGAGCCACCAGCTTCTTGAAGAATACAATTCACATTTTAAGCTTACCCATATGCAGATCCCATGATTTTGTAGTGTTTAGCAAAGATCATAAATTCACAGTGCGTAGGTAGTGATCTGGGTGAACGAATGACGTCATTTATGCTTAGATCTATTTAACTACAAAAAATTTCTCAAAAGCCCTAAATTGCTCTAATAATGTTCTGTGACTTTGTTGGTCAAACAAAATGGCGCCTTTCGGAAGCCATAAAAAAGTTTATGTATCATTGATAATTTTATTATTAAGGTTCAAATTGTTACGATATTGTTATAGATGGATTATTGGCTTGTTTAGATAAAGTTTGACCGAGTAAGCTATCCGTTCGTCAAAAACAGATTTTCCATTATTAAAAAAGAGTGATTTTTGTTTCTTCATCAAACCACTATTAGATTATTAAGGTATAGTGCCTTGTGAGGGCCCTTTTGGCCTATCTGTAATTTGCTGACGTTAACCTAAGCATTTATACCGTGTGTCAATGTGTGCGAGTGTTTTTAATATATTTGACTGTGTGCAATTTTTTTTAACCCAGGGAGAGTAAAAGGTTTGGCTCATCTAGTTGCAACAAAAATATTTCTCTGACTGCCACATATCCAAAATACACACTAGATATAGGAGTGTTCTTCTGGGGTTGTAGGTGCTATATGCTCTGAAAGTTCCTGTCTCCTTCTTTAACAAGCACAGTGACTCTTTTACAAACTGCTTCTATCGGCGGAAAATGCCTCTTTGATTCTATAGGCCAGGTGAGTCAGAATCCTTGACAACAGAAAAGCTGACGATCAGTGCCGGAAGGGGATATGTAGGAGAGGTTTTTTTTGTTTTCAGACCTTAGATTATTTTCCAGATTCTTTATTGAGAACTGCAGAATGTATACAAGCAGTTAGGACCCCAATAAATCCAAATGAAACAAGAATTCCTAATCTGGTAAGCAAGATGTGCGCTGCTGACTAACAAAAAGAATGATCGCATGGAAGTGCCACAGCCTCGGTGTGAGGACCAAGGAGTGAGTATAGGAAGAGAGTGGGCGCCACAAAGAATAGACAGGGGTCAAAAACGAATGGCGAAAGTCGTAGAAAAATAGGTTTAGCAATAGGTATTCACCAAAAAGAAGCTGTGTTTATAACTCAGACACTTTAATACAAATAAAACATACGAAGCATACTAGGCCCTAACCTAACTTAAAGCCTTACGACGAGTGACAGAGTTTCGTTCAAATAGCTTCTCCTGTCTCCATCCAACTGACTCTACTTAAACTACAACTTGTATATATGTACGAATGGAATCTAAAATTAGCAATACACGATAATTATGGTAACTAACCGATAACAAGTAAAAGGAAGGGCTAGGTTAAATGATGCCATGCAACGTAAACACATCTAAATCAAAAGTATGCAAAAATGATATAAAACTACGCAAATGGTAAAGCAACAACATAGGGACGAGAATGAGTAACCTATGACTAGGCCTAAACAATGCTGGGAAAATCCCGCACCTGCAACATAAACAAAGGAAGGGGGCGTCGCCAACATGAGACAATGCTATGACGCGAAACAAATGACGTACGAACGAGAGGTATGCCACAGCTAATGGAATGCAAAAAGGAACATAGAGAAAATCCTAACAATGAATGGGCTAAGGGGTATCTAACAAAATGGCCTAACTATACTTAAGAAAATTGTGACACCCCATTACGACGAATGTAGTTGAAAATACTTGCATTTTCATACAAAACTTCTTTTTTTCTGTATTGCGTCGCCTCTCATGCTTTTTAGGACTGCCTTTTACCAAACAACTATTTTCTTTTGAACCTATAGCTTTTTATGCTTCTCTTTGAGCTACAGTTCACAAGGTCATTTCAGTCAGTATTTACGCTAAATGTGAGCATAAAGGAAAAGGTCTAAGTTGTAAAGAAGGTAGATATAAGTTGAATACGATGAGGTTAGCGTAGAAACGTTTTTGTGAAGAAGCGGACAGTGAAAGTTCTGGTGACCCTGCAAAAAGCCTATTGAGTGCTCAGTTTAAGAGTAAATAATTAGCAAGCGGCAGCGGCTCGATGGAAAAGCTCAAAGGGTGTTGGAAGATGACTGACGTCAGAAAAGAAAAATTTCAAGCAAGATGGCACCATATACAAAGACCCGTGCTGCTCTTATGGCAACGCTGAGGTCCCTATCCCAGGTCTGGGAATCAATTTTACAGGATTGGTCATATGCTTTCAATACCTGAAATAGTGTCATCGAAGATTTATTTTTCTTGATAAGAGCAGTATATAGTGTCGTCGTTGAAACTTTCATTGCTCCCTGTCTTAGATATGGCTGCCCTGTTTGGGATTGGTGAGACCTCTCTTAACAATCTTCAAAGTTAAAAATCCATGCAGCCAGAACAGGATTCCAACATGATAGGTCAGCCTTGCCAATCATCCGTGCTCTTGTATGGCTCACGCCAGGAAGTTATTTGATCTTGAAACCCCTGATAACTTAAGAACTCAAATGCTAAGGACAGCAGCTGGTCAAAGATGTTATTATTCTCTAGACGCGAAATTCATAGATACATAGCATGAAAATCGTCTGATTTTCGTCGATTAAAGTTGTTTTTCATAAGTAGACCATTGATTTTCTTGGAAACCTTAATTCTGCGGTTTTTCAGAAAGCATATTCTACTGGAAAACTGTTGTATTTAAATCGAAGCCTATGAATTGCTAAAGAACAGTGAATTGTCCTTGATTGAAGCTTTTCGGATGATTGCTGACGGTTTTTGTTCGAATTATCAGGCGGCCCCTTGAATGACAAGATCCCTCAGACGGGAAGGAGATGAATTAAGGCAAATATCTCATACTTTTGCCTGGCTAGAAAAGGCTTTTTTCGTGTGTAAAGTTGACTTGAAAGAGCATTAGAATAAGAGAATAATAATAAAGAGCTGGAAATAATTTATTTACAGTTGGCAACAAGATCTAGCAGTAAGATAATGAAAGGCAACTATTTACAATCAGTATAAAAAGTAATTATGATAAAAAGCTTAAGCTTAAGATGGAAAACTTTTCTTTTCTCCTGCTCTCTCTCCTTCGCCTCAGCAGCTCACATTATTTTGTGTTGCTGTAAAATTTTTGCGGCTCTGTTACCCAGGGTAAATCTACAGCTGCAATGATTTGCAGTACACTTTCATGAACCTTGTTTATTTTATTATTCAATTCTGTATCATGGGTTATCAATACAAATGGTAAATAGCCAGAATGAGACATTATAAATGAGGTCATTGTTAGAGCTAGTTGAAATGCATTAATGAATATTGATTTGCGATTTAGAGCATGAGACTCTAATACTGTGTCTAGATCGGATCTAGGTCAAAAGATTGTAGTATCATCCGCATAGTTACATAAATCAGTTGCTTTCGCCAGTTAAGAAATTCGTTAGTGTGGAAATTAAAGAGCAGAGAGCCTAGCACTGAGCCTTGTGGAGCGCCCAAAGAGGTTTGAATGAGCTATTTACTTTCATTCTTTGTCGCTTTTCATGCAAAAAGCTGTGTAAAAGATTAAGGACACTTTGCTGAGGCCGTATGCTGCGAGTTTTGCTCATCAGGAGTTTTGAAGCAGTCAAAAGCGTTGGAAAAATCCACCACAATTGGTCCAGCATGATATTTTTTATCCAGGGATGATTTGCATTTCTCAAGAACTCTTAGAAGTGCGTGTTCTGTATCTTTCGCCTCCTCGAAAAGCGCATAGACATTAGGATGAAAAAAGGTCAGAGGAAAGCCCGGTTTGGTCTTTCGCCATACGCTCATAAACTTTTGATATTCGAGGCGGAACAGTTAGTTATTGGTCGATAGTTTCCATTTTGCAATGAATCAAGCTTCTTAATGGCAGCCGTAACATTGCCCTCTTTCCATTCGAAAGGAAATCTTTTTTATTCATCGTTAAAGTTGAAGTGTGAAAGAGTATTAATAGTTGAAGAGTTTTTATGATATATTAGTGTAGACGTCAAAATATTCCTTTAGAATCCTGTTAGGGTTTTTTTAGTTCTTGTAGTTTTCGCAAGACATTATCAGCTGTAACTGATGAAATTCAAATTTTTTAAAGATGGTTGTACATTCTCGGTTCTGAGTTTCATACTAGGATCAGAACGGTTATCAGCAAAGCATTTGATATCTTGGTTTTTGTAATAATCAATTTTTGGCATTTCGTATGATTTTTACACATAAGTTACGTTGTTTTTTATATACACTAGCGAGGTTTTCTTGACTTTTATTTTATCATTTTTGTCACGCAGCTTTGATCAGAGCATGTTTGTCACAAACGGGCCATCATTGGCACGAATATATTCTTTATTGATGGGTGCATGTTCATTCAGTAATATATCAACTCTTGTAAGGAAATAAGTGGAAATTCGACTAAGGGAAATATATATTTCAAATGTCATCAATTTTTTGTTGTGTAAATTTCTCTCTTAGTTTTCTTATTCGATATCGCCAGGAGTTTTAGAATCTGATGCTTGCACGCCATTACTACAGCACCTATCCGATAACTCGAACCGCCCATTCTTCAAGCATTCTTGATAACTCGAACTTGTTTTTGATGAGCAGGACAAAATACCAACAACAATTCCACAAGGGCTTTTTCATTCATCCAATCAAGTTACTGTTTTAAAACCAAAAAACTATTTAGTCCCTTAATTCGCAGACTGCAAGGAACAACCAATCCTTCTTCATCACCAAGACTGTGCCTTTTAACAGTTACTTTGATAATGCATTTTGTTTCAGGATGCCTTCGTAAAAAGATTCTTATAGTTTTAGCAAAATATTTAGCATCTCATTTTTTATGTGACTGTTGTTGTTGTTTACATAAAAAAACTCCCGACACTTCGGGGCAGGAACGATTAAATTTCCTATTGTATTCCTATAGTGAAAGAATAAGGATTCAAAGGCTATCCTCCTGGTCAACTTCAGACAAAATGGCGAATGTTGTTGGTGTAGATGTTGGATCAACAACCATTAGCTGCTTTGTTTTTGATGAGAACTGCAACGTGAAAGGAAATTCCATGTTAGGTGTTCATCTGGAGCACCCTAAGCCTGGATATACTGAGATAGATCCAGAAAAGCTCTGGAGCCAGTTTTTGTCGGTTATAAATGGTGCTTTGGACTCAGCTGGTATTACAGCAAAAGATATCACCTCACTGGGTATCTCAGTACAGAGAGGCAGTTTTATAACATGGGATCGCAATACTGGGGAAGTCTTACATAATTTCATTGGATGGCAAGATTTACGGGCCAGCAAGATAACAGATGACTGGAATTCATCTTTAACTATAAACAGTATTAAGTTTGCTAGCAAAGTGCTTTATGCTTTTACTGGTAAGAATAGATTTAAAGCTGCGAGTGTTATAACCTTCTCTCCCTATCATGCCTCCATGAGACTATATTGGATGTTGAAAAATAATCCAACAGTTTATCGTAAAGCACATAACGGAACTCTTTTGTTTGGGACAATCGATTCATGGCTGTTGTGGAAGCTGTCCAAGGGAAAACTTCATGTCACCGACTATTCCAATGCAAGTTCAACTGGAATTTTTGATCCATATATGATGACATGGAGTACAGTATTCTGTAGTATTCTTGAGCTCCCTTTATCAATATTTCCCTCTTTTATTGACACGTCTGGTTTCATTGTGGATGTTGACGAAAGTATTTTTGGCCACAGTTTTCCAATCCATGCACTAGCAGCCGATCAACAAGCTGCTGTATTTGGTCAATGTTGCTTTAATGAGGGTGACATCAATTGTACCCTTGGTACTGGAACATTTATTGATATAAACACTGGGCTGAATCCTCATGCATCAATTGGTGGTAGGTATTCGTAATAGACATCTTTTTGAAAAGTTACTTCCTATTGCTTTCTCAATATACTGCCTGCTTTGTGGCAGTCGAGTAGAGTGGGTCCTAAACATGGGTGTGCGGCTCAACTGTTGTCTTCTCTTCGTGGGATCATGTTTTATCATGTAGATTCATATATTAAGTGCAAAAAGGCAAAGCCTGCAAGCATTTCAATCTGTAGTGAAGGTGGCAAGTGCCATTATAAATTTCAATTATCAGAACGAGCTATGTATACCCTAGCAGAAGGATCTCTCGGAACGATTCCCTTTTAGAAGGCACATGCACATAGCTGAAATCACGTCTCTCTACCTAGTTTTAATTCGACTCCGTAGAGATTGCCTTTTCTCCACAATACGCACTGACTCTATTGCATTATGAAGTCGCTTGTAAAGACTGCAGCTTTTCCCAGTAGCGGCGCCACGGGGAGGGGGGTTCCCTTCTGATTAAATTTGCGTTTCCTATTGGTAAAAGGGTGTTAGCTGGTGGTAAAAAAGGCGTGGCCTATAATATTTTGTCTTGCCCACCCAGAGCTTGGTGGCTGGCGCCGCTATTGGCTTCTCCAACTCTTGCAGCTGAGTAACATTTCCATTTGAATTAAAAGGTTCTAATTATGATGGTCTTTAATTTTGTCTTGAAGGTCTTTATCCGGTTGTTGGCTGGAAGATTAAGGAAGAAACAGTTTTTATTGCTGAAGGCAATACACAAGGAACTTCATCATCCGTTGAATTGTTAAAAAACCTGGGTTTATTTGATGATGTGTCCTTGACAGCTGATATGGCCAATGAAGTGGAAAACTCGGATGGTGTTTATTTCATTCCTGCTTTCAATGGTCTCCAAGCCCCTATCAACGATAATCATGCTGTCCCTTTACTTATTGGTGATTTTTCTTACAAAATTCTTTATAATTTTGTTGTATATACTGAAGGTGATGCAAAAGCAATTTCCATTTTTTCTTGGATCAAAGTTAATTGATAAAGTGACAAAAAACCTTAAAAATTTGTACATTTGATGCTCGAGTTTGTTGTATATTGTGTACTTTTTCAATATTGAGCCTGGCTGCAGACTCAGTAGTTTTATGAACCAAACTGGTGCCCAAATGCAGACGTAATTTATACGCCCCCCCCCCCCCTCGATTCAAAAGCACTATATATAAGTATACATTTATCCATTCCAGATCGAGTAACCTCCGGCAGATGGACTAACACCTGCCTTCTGCCTTTGTTGCAGGCAATCAGTAGAGTTTTCTAACGCTATTTTTCAATTTTGGTACGCTGTATAGTCAATAATTGTTCGTTTTTTTGCAGGCATGAACATAGATACTTCAAGGCAACACATTGTTCGGGCAGTTTTAGAATCGATTGCATTCCGATTTCACCAGCTTTATCAGATAGTTATTAGCGAGATACAAGTGCCTGTAAAATCGTCGATTAAGGCCGATGGTGGTGTGGCAAGGAACGATTTTGTCGTTAAACTGATCGCCAGCCTGACAAAACACGAAACGGACCGGGCAGCTTTTAGTGATATGTCGGCCCTTGGAGCAGCTTTCTTTGCTGGCCTAGGTGCTGGGGTCTGGAAATCAAAGGAAGAACTTCTAGACCTGCGAGTTTCCGGGAAGACTTTTCAACCAGACTTAGATATGGGGAAGTCGTATGTATCGACTTTAAAGACATGGGAGAAAGCGATGGAAAGAAGCCTTGGCTGGTACAAGGGCAAATACTAATCGCTCAATTATCACGCATTTGATTTTTATTTATGCCATATTTTTATAAACAAGGTGGATTGAAGCCTCGGAAAGTCACTCCTGTTTTTGTACTGGTTCAATCTCGTGTAAAGGATGTTCCTTTTTCTTTGGATTTAAGTAACGCATTTGAATTATTTTCTTTCTTATATTTCTTTTTATGTTTGACCATTTTATACATTAAATGTGCATAATTATATGTTTATATCAATTTCACCTATTAGTTTGTCTTACTAGAAATTATTGCCGTCTTTCTTTCGTAACTCGTAATTGTCCGCATGGGTGTAGCAAGCAGAAGTGGTGTGAGTTGTCGTCATACCCAGGGGCGGACTGGCTGGTCGGGCTATTCGGGCGATCGCCCGAAGGGCCGGTCGGTTTGAGGGCCGGCTGATAAAAGTGCAAAAAAAATAAACTAGCTTAAAAAGTGAATGCGAGGCAAAAAAGTATACCCACGCGTTGATCTATTTGCCTTGAATTTTCAGAGACTTTGTGGGAAAGAATAAATATACACGCGAGTACTCGAGAACCATTAAAATTACGAATTCATTATTGTCACCGCAGTCCAGACACACTTCTTCAGGAAACATGTTATTGTTATATTTCTCTTGACGGTATTTCCTTTTTGACGACATTCTATACTGTAACACCCCTGTTTCAATGCGATACATAGGATTTTAACCTGCCCTGATGTCTTTTTACTTATCTTTTGCTTAAAGCTGGTCATGTTTTTGCCTAAGCACCAGCTATTGCTTAATGTAATAAATTTGAAAGTCCAAAAATTAGAGTTCACTAAGCGATTTGCTCTGTGATTTGAAGCAATGAAAAAGACATACGTAGAACGAGGGAAGAGTGTTCGGGTTTTCACGTGAATTTTCATTGCGTAGTCGATTAAGGTTTTGGTTTAGTGTAATTAAGCCTTAAAATGTATCTTGTGACTTGGTGACGCAGCTTTTCTGTTTACCATATTTTCTAATTGCTTCGATTATAATAATTACACTTTCGTTTGAGCCAACTGACGTTAATTGAATAGAGCATCGTCATTGGTAGTTTATTTTGGATTAATTAGTTTACAGTATATATATAGAACGTTGAGATTTTGTTATTGCGTGCGTGCAACTGGGGGTGGTTGTGCGAACCCAGCTGTGATTTGCTGAATAATATGAAATGTGAAAAGCTCAAATGACTTTTTCTTCAGTGTTTTCTCTGGAATACAAAGTTTAAAAAGAATCAGCAAGATAGATCCTGAGAGGTCTAAATATCTGGTCCACCGAGCCGGATGCATTTGTGTTTCAGTGAATGAACTATGGATGAACTGAAGAAGAAGAGAAACATCAGAGGAGGACATAGAGCTTTTGCAACGCAGTTGATCAGACAGATTGAAGATAGTCTGGAAGATCAATTGAAGTTGAAGCAGCTTGAGATACAGCTAGATGAGAAATTTGAAGTCTTAGGAAAATTGGATGACGAAATTTTGGGTCTTGTAAGCGAAATTGATGAAGATGGTTTGGGATGCTTGCAAGAAATTTCTGAGGCTGGAGAGATGAAGGAAAAAATAAATCTAGCGCTGCTCAAGTTGAAGAGTTTAGTGAAGAATGAGAAGCAGTTGGAATCGCAGAAGCCTAATTTAACAAGACATGGCTCAGAAGAATCAGTTTATTCTGTAGAAAGTTCAGCGTCGTCAGCAACTCGTAAAGTTCGTGCGAAGCTACCGAAGTTGGAACTGAAAAAATTTAGTGGCCGCCCCCAAGATTGGCAGGAGTTCTGGGATAGTTATAAAAGTGCGGTTTACGAAAACGAAGAGATTTCAAAGATTGACAAGTTTTCGTATTTGAAGCACTATTTGGAAGAGCCTGCCAAAAAAGTAATTGCTGGACTTGCTTTGACTGAAAAAAATTATGACGTAGCTGTCGATTTGCTTGAACAGAGATTCGCGCGACCAACGACGATAAAAAGGGCACATATCAACGAGCTTCTGAATTTAGATGCGGTTTTTAATGAAAAGCATGTTAAGAAGATGCGAGAACTTTATGATACTATTGAGACACACCATCGTGGATTGAAAGCCTTAGGGGTCGACGAAATATCATACTCGAACAAAGTTGTACCTGTTTTAATGGACAAGGTTCCAGAGGCTGTTCGCCTGAACATGATTCGAGGAAGTAAGAATCACCAAGAATGGGATATGGAAGAAATGCTTGTGGCTTTTCGAGAAGAATTGGAGATTCGTGAACAGCATGTTTCGATTTCAATGGCTTTGGGAAATGGGACCGTTTCTGGTAGGACGTCACCAGAACGGCGAAGTGAGATGAAACCGAGGTTTCCTGGTCGAACAACAACAGCGAGTGCGTTGTTTACGAAACAAGATGGTGGATTTGCGAGAAGAAAGTTCTGTGTATTTTGTAAAGAAGATCATGAAGAAGCCGATTGTCACAACGTCAGGAACAAGGAAGAAAGGAAGGATCTTGTTTTCAAATATGGACGTTGTCTTTTGTGTTTAAAAAAGGGACACAGAGCTTATCAGTGTCATTCGAAGGAAAAATGTAAGTTGTGTAACAAACGACACCATGTTGCAATTTGTAATGTTGTTGGTAGCAAGCCTAGTGCTAACCAAGCTCGTGTCAAGACTGCTGATACTACTGTTACCACTTCTTGTGTAAGTAATATAGATTCTGGGGGGAGAGCAGTTTTGCAAACCGCCAAGGCCGTAGTTACAGGTAACATAAGGGATGTTAAGGCACGTGTTCTTTTTGACTCAGGTAGTCAGAGGAGTTTTGTAACACGAAGTATGGTAGAAAAACTTGGTTTGAACCCCATTAAGCAAGTGCGCTTAGGTATAAAGACATTTGGATCTCAAAATATGGACGAGAAGATAGGAGATGTGGTCGAGTTAGAGTTGAAAGGAGTTGAAAGTGGAGGGAAAGTGAAAATACAGGCCTTTGTTGTTAATGAAGTTTCAGAAATACGCAATGAACATGTTGAAATATTGAAGTATGATTATAAGCATCTTACTAACTTGTGGTTTTCAGATGTTTGTAGGCACGAAGATTCCCTTATTATAGACATTTTAGTTGGAAGCGATTGGCTTTGGACGCTTCAAGATGGTCGTATAATACGAGGGGAGCCAGGAGAGCCTGTTGCCATTCATACTAAGATTGGATGGGTTGTGTCAGGGCCAATAAAGGGTAAGTTAACTGATTTGGCAGAATCTTGTTCTTCAAATTTGGTTGTAAATGGTAATGGTATAACAGTTAATTTGATGCACCAGAATAAGGAACAGGAATTAGAACAAGACATTAAAAAACTGTGGGATCTTGAGACTTTAGGAATTAAAAGGCAAGATAAGGTGCATGAAGAATTTTTGGATAATATAGAGTTTAAAGGAGATAGATACTTGGTTTGTTTGCCTTGGAAAATGGGGCACAAGCCCCTTTCTACTAATTATACTCTTAGTCTCAACAGATTGAAGGGGCAGTTGAAAAAGCTCAAGGAGAAGCCTGCAATAATGGAAACCTATGATGGGATTATAAAGCAACAAGAAAGGGATAGAATCATTGAAGAGGTTACAAGTCTTGAGCCAAGTGAGAAGCTTAGTTATCTGCCACGCCGTTACCATGCCGATGTACGAAATGATGCAGAAACAACAAAGGTAAGAATAGTATATGATGCCTCTGCAAAAGATAGGAAGTCAGGTACCTCTCTAAATGAGTGTTTACATGTTGGACCACCATTAAATCCACTTTTGTTTGATATCATGATAAGATTCAGAGAAAATAAGATTGCAATAACATCTGATATCGAAAAGGCATTTTTGAATATTGAAGTGGATAAAAAGGATAGAGATTGCTTGAGGTCCTTATGGGTTGATAGTTCTTGTGATAGTGAACCAAACATTAAAGTTTACCGCTTTAATCGTGTTGTTTTCGGAGTAAATAGTTCTCCTTTTTTGTTGAATGCTGTTGTAAGACATCATTTAAGCACTTATGAAACAGCTGATCCAGAGTTCTCAGCAAAATTGTCTAGAAGTTTCTATGTAGATGACCTAGTGTTAGGATGTTATGATGTAGAAAGTGGTAAAGAACTCTACAATAAGGCAAAGAAAAGAATGTTAGAGGCAGGATTTAACTTAAGGAAATGGAAGAGTAATGATCCACAACTTGCTCAATATTTTAAGGTTATGGAAGAAACTGGGAAACATCCTGCAGATGGAGGGGGTGAATGTAGCTATGTAAAGGAAATGCTAGGGGAAGAAATTTCAGACACTAAGAGTAAAGTTTTGGGAATAACATGGGATATGTTGAAGGATAATTTGGAATTTGAGTTGACAAAAATAGAGAGCAGTGTTCCAAATTCACCTGTTACTAAGAGAACCATATTAAGCATGATTTCCAAACTTTTTGACCCTTTAGGACTTGTGAGTCCAATTATTGTAAGTGCAAAGGTTTTGTTTCAGGAATTATGCACCTTGAAGTTAGGATGGGATGATGAAGTACCAGTAGAAATGCTCAATAAATGGAATAAATTTGTATGTGATTTAAGTTCAGTGGGTGTTATTTCCTTACCAAGATGTTTATATGAAAAAAGTACAGATAAGGTAAATAAGTGTTATTTACATGGGTTTGCAGATGCCAGGAAGAAGGCTTACTGTGCAATGGTTTATTTAGTATACGAGACTGATACTGGAATGCATTCAAGATTGATTTGTGCTAAGACAAGGGTTGCTCCGCTTAAGGAATTAAGCATTCCAAGGTTAGAACTTATGTCAGGTCGTATTTTATCTACACTTATGGAGACTGTGTATAATGCGTTAAGCCCACAAATTAAAATAGACGGTTGTAGGTACTGGTTAGACAGTAAGACATCATTATACTGGATAAATAATCAAGGTGAATGGAGGCAATTTGTACAACATAGGGTCAATGAGATTCTGAAAATTTCTAAAAAGGAAGACTGGGGACATTGCATTGGAGTTTGTAATCCAGCAGATTTGGGTTCTAGGGGAGTCTCTGCAACAGTTTTAAGAGATAGCAGACTTTGGTGGGAAAGTCCTCATTGGTTGTCCATGGGGAAGGAATATTGGCCTAAAAGTTTCACTCTTGAGGATTCACCAGAGATTATGGAGGAAAAAAGGAAAACTGTAAATGTTACAGCAGTAATAGAACAAAACAGACTAAGTGTGACTGAAATAATAGAGGTGGATAAATTTAGCTCTTTGAAGAAATTATTGAGGGTTACAGCAAGAGTGATCCGTTTCGTCACTAACTTAAGGTCTGCAAGGGAAGGTAGGACATTGAAATTAGGGGAATTAGACTCGGAGGAAGTTTCAAGGGCAGAAAGGATTTGGATTAAGGGCTCACAAATTGACCTTAAGAAACAACCAGGGTATAATGAGATTGCATTGAAATTGGGACTCTTCAAAGAAGATGGCATTTTAAAGTGCAAGGGTCGCTTGGAAAACTCAGATTTAGCACTAGAAACTAAGTTTCCGATTATTCTACCGAATAATAATTGGTTTACGCGTTTGGTTATTGAGGATTGCCATGAAAGGGTAATGCATGAAGGTCTGAACGCAACGCTCACGGAATATAGGTCTAGATTTTGGACAACAAAAGGAAGGCAGTATGTAAAAAAGATATTGAGGGATTGCAGAAAGTGCAAAAAGGTACAAGGTAAATCGTACGGTGTACCATCAGTCGCACCTTTACCTGAATTTCGTGTCAAGGAAGTACCACCATTTACCTACATAGGTATAGATTTTTCTGGACCATTGTTTTATAAAAGCAAAATAGGCAAGATGGAAAAATGCTATATTGCACTTTACACCTGTGCTACATCAAGGGCAATACATCTTGACCTCGTTGAAGATATGTCAGGACTGACCTTTATAAGGAGTCTTAGGCGTTTTACATCTCGTCGTGGTACGCCTTCGTTGATTAATTCAGACAACGCTAAAACTTTCAAGTTTACTAATAAGTTTCTAGATAAGCTGGGAAATAGTCGTGAAGTTTCATCATATTTAGTTGAAAAGAAAATAACATGGCGTTTCAACTTGGAAAGAAGTCCCTGGTGGGGAGGTTATTTTGAGAAATTGGTCGGAAATGTAAAGAGGTGTTTAAGAAAGGTGCTTGGAAATGCCAAGCTAACATTTGATGAGTTGCATACCGTGCTGTTAGAAGTTGAGGCGACACTTAATTCGCGCCCCTTAACGTATATTTATGATGAAGTTGAAGTTTACCCACTTACTCCGTTTCATCTTATGTACGGTCATAGATTGTCGCAATTAGCTGATGATTTAGATATCAACGATTTAGAACTAGAGGAGAGTTCATCAGCATACTCTAAGCGATTTTGCTATTTAATCAAAAAATTAAGCCACTTTGCAGGACGCTGGAGAAGGGAATATTTAACAGAACTCAGGGAATTTCATAGAAATAACAGGAATGGAGAAATAATTGTGTCCGTCGGGGATATAGTATTGGTGCAAGAGGAACACGTCAAAAGAACTTCATGGAAAATGGGGAAAATCGTGGAACTTGTGCAAGGGAAAGACGGTGTTGTTCGGGGTGCAAAGGTAAAAGTATGTGGTAGTGGTAAGTCAGAAATTTTATCTCGACCTTTGCAAAAACTTTTTCCTTTTGAACTTGCAAGAATGAACGAAGCCGCAGGAAAAAGTACGGACATCGAGAGGAAAGAGAACGAAGTACGGGAACAGAATGCTTGTGAATTTTCACCTATTGTAATTTGTCCTAATCGCGTCGTAGAACCCCAGCGTAGGAAATCTAAACGCACTGCAGGTCAGGATTCGCAGTGGAAAACCCGTTTGATGCTTGACTCTTAACGAGTCAAGGAGGGGAGTGTGTTCGGGTTTTCACGTGAATTTTCATTGCGTAGTCGATTAAGGTTTTGGTTTAGTGTAATTAAGCCTTAAAATGTATCTTGTGACTTGGTGACGCAGCTTTTCTGTTTACCATATTTTCTAATTGCTTCGATTATAATAATTACACTTTCGTTTGAGCCAACTGACGTTAATTGAATAGAGCATCGTCATTGGTAGTTTATTTTGGATTAATTAGTTTACAGTATATATATAGAACGTTGAGATTTTGTTATTGCGTGCGTGCAACTGGGGGTGGTTGTGCGAACCCAGCTGTGATTTGCTGAATAATATGAAATGTGAAAAGCTCAAATGACTTTTTCTTCAGTGTTTTCTCTGGAATACAAAGTTTAAAAAGAATCAGCAAGATAGATCCTGAGAGGTCTAAAAAAAGAGCAAGAAGACTTCAATAAAAGGTGGTGCACAGAAATTTCGTGAGGATTCAGCTACGATACAAAGCTTTGTATCAAGCCAAAGCCACAAACATCACAAAAAAGCATGGTATTGCTCTTGCTTCTTTCAATAACTCATACAAGTTATGGAAAGTTTATTAGGCCTACACTATCATAAGTCAAATGCACCCCCTGCCCAACAGGGGTATGGTGCTACACGATAAAATTCCAACAGGGGTGCCCATGTTTTCCTTTTTGGGGTCAGAAATTGACAAATTGATATTTTTGGGTTGCTGAAAATCATTGTGGTTTTCCGGAGGGTTGGAAAATTATTTGTCACAAGTGGAGTGTGATAGAAGCTTTTCCACTTTAAGTATATAAAGAACAGGTTACGTAGTAATTTTTCGCAGCCACATCTGGAGTCTTTCATGTTAATGTTCTTAGAAAAACACCTGTTAGATGACATCCAGAACCGAGGGGCAAATCACTTCATTAAAATCTCGTACAACTTTTGGTGGAAATTCTATTGTTTTATGAGAAAATTCCTGGAAATCATTTTGATTTTGTGAAAATCTCGGACACTTTTTGCAAGAGTGAGCTACCCCTCGTCCAGAACGATCACATTATCAACATATAAGTTACTGTATTAAGAAACAGAGTCAAACCAATGAGTGAGATGACCAGCATTATTTACTGTTTAGTCAGCAAATGACATATTTAACATGTTCGGTTAACCATATTCTGTTGACCAGCATTCATCCATGCACTAAATTACTAAATTCAAAAACTTGTTTTCCTTACAGACTAACATTCACTTGTATTTTCCGAGGAGTTTTTTATTTGCTATTATTGTGGGCCGGTTTGATCAAAATTTGCCCGGGCCAAACAAATTAGCCAGTCCGCCCCTGGTCATACCATCTGCTGATGATTTCCTATTGGTTTGTAGTGAGACTAAAAGTTGTTCTATGTTCATCCAGTCGAGGCAAATAAAAGGACATGAGATAAAACAAAGAAATCGAGACAACCTGGACGGTTCAACTGCCGGTCATTTTTTGCTCCCTCGTCTTTATAAAGCTGGAAAATTCAATGGTTCTTTGCCTGATTTGTTGATCAGAGTTATTGCAAGCTATGTCTGTTATATATTTCAGGTTTTTTGCAGTTTTGGAGTTTGTAGCTAAAAACGGTTTTCAGTTGTAAGCGCCAGCGAACCCGTACCTTCGTTATCTTGGGTTATATTAAACCTTGTATCGAACTTAGCACATAATTATCTTTTTGTGCGGAATGCTTGGTCAATGCTCAAAGAGATGAAATCCTTGATAGCTTTTTTTATCAATAAAAGGCTGGATTATGTATTTTTATAGCTGAATTCATTTGTCAAATTGTTTATCAATTCTTTTTATTTCTAAATCATTCAATTTTATAGACTATTTTCTATGTTTTTCCCCTAATTTAGCTTGATTGTCAGTGACTCTGTGTGCTATTTCGTGGATCAGGCTTAATAGTTAAGTTCTACAAGATAGATAGAATTATTGCAGGGGCATGACTGTTTGAGAACGAAAGAAACACAAACTTTTACCTCCCATTCTGCACTGTAAATTGCTGCTGCATGTTCATCTGAACTTATTTTATCTTGGGTTGCACTACTCAGTCACTTGCCTGGCATGTTGCTTGTGCAGTTGCTAGGCCGAAAGGCAAGGTCACAAATTGCCAAAGATAAAATTGGGCCACAAACGCTGTTTTGTCCTCTGAATACTCAGATTTTGGAATCTGCCAATAGCCCTTTGAAAGATTCAATGTTGTGATATACTTTGCCTGTGCCTTCTAGTCTATCAAGTCTTCTACTCTTTTTGCCCTCTCTGAAGTCAACATCTTTAAGACAGCTGTTTCCATGATTGATAAGTCCAGTATAAAAGATGAAATGGTCAATTAATTTCCTTTCTGTTTGACAAATTGTCACATTTTATCTTGCTGTTGTGTCCTTTAAGATCTTTCCTTTTTGGAACAATTACCAGAGTTTGAGCCATTTACTGTTTGACTCTGCAATGATATCATGTTTGGCCATTGGAATCCGATAAGGCCATTGTCTAATGGGGTTTGCATCACCTACTTCAATTTTATGCTAGAAGAATCTGCGTCTTTGTCAAAGTGACGCTGAATTTCGTCGCTAGTAGGTTCTTCATAACTGCCCATGATAGATAGACTCATCTCAGAAATTATTAGATAGGATACAATCTTCGGGTTGTTCAATAATGATGTTTCTGTTTCTCTAAAAATGCATGTAAACCTCGTAGTCAACATGACTTTACTTCCTTGTCACTATGTAAGGTCCTTGCCATGATTCATACAGCTTAGCTCCTTTTCTCGCTAAAGAGTAAACACCAAAACATTTTGTCTCAAATCTACGGTTCTGCTTCTCTTCTGGCCATTTGAGCACACCATCACTTCTGTCCCTAATGAGCCTTTCCAAGATTCTCTTGTACCAGTTCTGTCATTGACGGAATCTTTGTCGCATATCAGCAGCATATAAAAGTACATTGTCTGCAGCCTCTTGTTTAGATTCTTATCTCTCCTTTACTATACCCACCGGGTGGCGGACACGTTACCAAAAAGAAGCTCAAATTGCGAGAAGCCTGTCGAATTCTTGAGGTACCGGTCTGTATGCAAAAAGATGGTATAGCACCTTTCTATCCCATCATCCGGATGTTCTGGTAAAAACATGATCAGCATCTTCTTCCAAGCTCCATTAAACCGCTCCACCAATCCATCTATATGCATTGATTGTGGCTTTTCTTGATGTGTGAAAGATTCATAAGTTTGAAGATACTCTGTAGCAAATCTGCTATGAAATTCCTGCATATGGCCAAAATATATCTTTTTTCCTCTGCTTGTTTTATCAAGTGGGTCTACAATATCCATTGAAATGCGGCTTAAAGTATTTTTGATGATTCGGCATTGGCTGTAACTTTTCTCCGAGATCTTTTGACGTCTTCTTGCAAGCTAAACAAGATTCTTACAGCATTCTTTTACATCGTGGGACACGCCAGGTCAAAAAAATTGCTCCATAATCCCACTACGTGTTCTCTTTTGTCCAAGATGCCTAAGACTGCTGTAAATGAGCCCTTCAATCTTCTCATATAACTTTCACCATAATTTTCCCACTTTTATGGATCAATTGCCTCTTTACTCTCTACTGTTTTCTAAAGCCTTCTTCTGTCTCTGCCAATTTTCGCCTTCCTCTCTCCGCAGAATTTATCTTCTTCAAATCCAAAAATTTCATTCAAGGGAATGTATCGGATTCTCTTTTTTTTCTCTTTTATCTCTTTTACCAAGCTAACAGCCTTCTACTCTCTCCTTCTCGAATCTTTGCCTCCTAATCATGACAGCAAACGCTAAATTGTTTCCCTTGCCTTCTTCCTTTATGATGAATGCAACCAGACCATTCCTATCTCTGCCAAATAATGCTGGTTCAGTATAACCTTCCGGAACTGCTGCCCTAACGCAGTACACCTCCCCCCTCCCCCTCCCCCCCCAACATTTTGTCCGTCAGCAAATAAAGGATTTCTTTCGGGCAAAATGAGCTATTTTTGTTACAACGTCCTTTCGGATATAACGGTCTGGTGTACTTGGACCGGGCAAAAGGTCCATACTTAACATTAAGAAAGTACCCCGCTTAAAACGTACTTTCGGTTAAAGCGTACTTCTTTTTCGACCTTTCTAAACAATTTCCATCGGATACAGCGTACTATGTGTGTCTTTGTGTGTCACGCCAACCGCCCATGTTTGCAGACTTCAAGAAAGTTGATCATGTAGCGGGAACCTTAGCATTAAATAGGAAGTTTGACCAAATTTCAACCTATAATTCATTCAATTTATTGGTCATGGTTGGTCATAGGCAACTTTCTTTTTTGTAATACACTCTGTTTTATAAAAACAATTTTATAAGAACACAAGCCTCAAATTGGTCAAAAGTTAAAAACAAATTAAGAACAAACAAGCTGAGGCTGAGCTACTATAAAATGCAAATTTAAACATTTTTTCTAAAAAATGAGGACTTTTAGCCATATGTTGGCTCTTTTTTAGTGAATATCCAAACATGTGGGCAAATGAAGGCTGTTTCACTCACTTTGTTGGCAAAAAAGGCCTGAACACCTCCCTTGAGCGAAAACGCTAGCAATCGCACTGCTTACAATCTATTAATTTAAGAACAAATTATAAACAATCCACCCTCATATTTTTGAAAAACAGTCAACCTGAACTCGAATTCACTGGCTCGTACAAAAAAAGAGTGTATTGCAAATAACTTGCTATAAGGAGCAAGCTAACGACTATAAGAAATGAATGCATGAAATAACTGCAAGAAGTTTTTTGAAATGCATTTTAAGCTAATCTGAAGGGTGTGTTCGCAAACATTTTCTGCTCGCTCCGCTCGCAGGGGCATCGTCTTTCCATTTTGCCCCAAAGTCTCTGAAACCTCTCGTGGCCTTCAGTCATATTTGCCCTTCAATTTTTATAAAAATTTTGTAGATTAGAGAACATTTTATGAGCTGAAATTATTGTTATGCGGAGCTCAAAAGAAGCTGCAGCTTATTTTTGCAGATTTTCTTAAAATTTATGCTCATGGATTCACCCAAAAACGCGACCTCCAGGAAGTCAGTAAACTTTCAAAGTATGGCACTAATCTACGGGAGGGCAAGGGGGGCCAAAGGTCTCTATTAAAAATTCAATGTCTTCTGCCGAAGCTGTTCAATCGTTTTTTGACTTTGTTAGGGTTGCTCTCTTTATTTTCCTCAATGCTATCTTTATTGCATTTATTCAACAAACTAGGGGCCCCAATAAGCGTTTAGGTTTGTAACCGAGGTGGACATTTATGAAATTTTGGCTCCTTTCTAATAAGTTACCAAGTAAAAACCAAGTGTTACTAAGAGTTCTGTAGTTACCAAGAAAAACTCATTCTTGACAGTCATTTAAATTCTATATTTGCCAGATATTATCACGACGATCCACCTTCTTGCGGTGGGGTGCGCAGGGTCAGCCTAATATCATCCCAGTATACCTTGGCAATCTATTGCTTATCGAAATTGTATGAGTTGAAATTCTGTGTAGCAGAATGATTTGCTTGATCTCATGGAGGTTAGATATAAGACATAACTACTATGAAAAAATTTTACCAATTAACCTCACAAAGCTATTAGACTTTTATTTTTTAGAAGTTTAGTTATTCTGTTGAAAACCATGCTCATGATGCATTATTGTTAAACAGATAAAACTCAGTGGAGTAACAGATAAAGGTTACTTTTAGTCATATAACAAATGGTCCCGAACCGAGATGGTCCCGAACTTTTAGTCATATAACAAATGGTCCCGAACTATTTGGCATAATGATAACAGCCTTGATAGAGCTGTACCAAGGACATACTTATCTATGGGGGGGCTAAGCACCGGTGCCTTGTAGCTAACTAATTTTGAGCCACCACGCCACTGCTTTACATTCTACTAGTTCCCAAAGTAATAGCTAGCGTTGGCTCCTATAACTGAAAGTTTGGCCCCCGGTTAGTCTCCCCCCCCCCCAGAAGATTTTTAAGGCTAGAATCGCCACTGCCTTTTTGTCGGCAAAAATCACTCTTTTACCCTTCCAAACACCGCCCCAACGATCAAAGGCAGCAAAGAAACCCCTTGAAGTCCTCTTCTCACTGACTGGCTTAAAAACCCCCGACGAGTTATTTTGCCTCAACCCCTTCATCCATATTTTATACAATATTTGAGGGGAGCAAACTGTCTCCTCGCCTCTCCACTCTCTCGACTCCTTACCGTTGCCGCCATTTCAGTCTCGATTTCGTGCTAAGATGTAAGATGGCGACTTGTGAAGTTGTCAGTGAAAGTAAAGGCGCGAATTTGAAACATGTGAAAGATTGGTCAATAGGAATGTATACATCATATTTTCGAAGCATTTCAAGCACCTTTGGGTCTCTCAAGGTATCAAAAGATGGACAAATCGGTGTCGTAGCAAATGACGGAATTCACATCCTTGTATCCTTTCTTTATTTTTCCTTTGAAACACGAGCAACATATCGACCTAAAATTAATATCACAGAAGGTTAAATAAACGCCCTAGTTACAAACAAAAGCCAAAACGAAACAAGCATTTTCTAAAATGCGCATTGTAATTCAACTCTCAATATAATATTTGCTATTGCCTGTAGGGAAGTTCCAGTTGCGTGCTGAGCCAAAATAATTGGGATAATTTCATTGCTATTTCAGCTTTAGTTCTTAATTTATGTAGGGAATAGCATCTTTTTGTAGTAATGCGTATATTGTTACGAAAACAACAAGACTTTGCAACTTTTGTTTGAGTTGGAACAAGATTTTATCTGCAACACTTCTTTGAGCTGATGTCACTGTACTATGATTTTGCAGATACAGCTTGTTAAAAATAAATTGTTCAAGCTCTTGCAACTTGCAAGAAGAATTTTCGTCGCAGAAGTTTCTGGATAAAATATGATATTGCATTTGCAATTGCCAAAGTTGAAAAATTATATACCCAGGGTGCCAATATAATTTTTAAATATTTTACTTGAAATGAGGAAAATCAGTAAAAATTAAAAATAATTTTGGTGCAAAGCCCTTATTGCTTGATATTTTTAGTTTGCTTAAAATCATTATTTAGTTTCCTCATAAAATTTCAAGTAAAAAATTTTAAAGTTATGTTGTCCTGATACATTGTATTTTTATGGAATTCATCCCCAGGGTGCTATTGGGAATTAGTTGGTTTGGGAATTATCTGGAAAGGGTGCTTTGTTGGCTTGGGGGATTACACGCTTTTTTTATAAGGAACCTACCTCAAGACCTAGTTTCAAAAGTTCCTTATTCTTAGACCTCAAATCATCAAATTTTAGTACCAAAAGTTCCTTAATAGTTCCTTAATTTTCATTTCCCATCAAGTGCCATAAAAATAGTACAGAAACAGGAAAAACAAATTTTAATTTTCCCTTTACTTTTGGCTACAACTCAGGAGCAAAAACACAAAGAGGGTAGGAATGAAGTTTTACAGATTCGAAAGTGAAATCTCAATCAATAAGAATCATGTCTATTCCATTAATATCATCCAATGTAATGCAATCTTCACTTGCATCTTCGTACTCAAAATTCTCCTAGCTTGGTGTTGAACCCAAGATATGACCAGTGTGCCAATCATCGTAGAAGGCACGTATCTTGCGATTTATGATATCATGGTCGTAAATATGGTCTTTTACATTATTAACACTTTCATTTTCATCTAAATCTTCCTCAGTGTCATATTGTTCATCTTCATTGTTGTCATTATCTTCTTCAGAGGTTGCTTAGGGTTCTGGTGTTGGTAAATCTAATGGATTTTCTGGGCCAACCACAGGTAATGGTGGAGGAATTGAGTAGCCAGGGAGACCTTTTGGCTGAATTTTGTCATCCCCAGAGCCATCAGTTGTCACTAAGCAACCTGTTTTCTCGAAGCATCTGTACCTCGATGAGGCATATTTCTCACCAGATAGCCTGTTGTATGCCTCACCAACCCAATGGGTGATCAAGATAGTCGCTGTTTTGCATCAATCTTCCCTTTGCTATTTCCAAGCCAGAAATCAATGTTATTGTCACTCTGAAGCCATTCATTTTGTATGGTGCAAACCAGGGATTTCAACATGTGACCGAAGCCACACTCCACAGGCTGCCAGATATCTGTAGCGCTAGCCAATCCAAACCAAACTATAGTGCCATTTAATTTTCTCACCTCACTGAGGTTGTCACAGAAGAGCACAAATTCTTTGTTTGCATCAGCCTCTGATGTAATCATTACTGCTGGTTTGAGGGTTCTTGTAACCCCGTTGATGCTGGAATTTACATCAGCCCAAGCATTCGCTTGCCAGTAAACATCAACATCTTTATGGTATGCATTTTTTTCATCGGTTCTCACTCATTTCCCTGTTCCATGGAAAATAATGCGAATTCTTACTGGTGGTCCTTCCGGTGCGAGGCAGATTTGCAAAGCACATGGCTGCCTATCAAGTCCAGGTCCCAGGGTACTGACCCAGATTAATTGGTGTCGTTGTTCTCCGCAGGGAAGTTGCCTTTCAAATGTGGTCTTTGAATCAATTGTGAATGGCATTGGAACCTGGTCAACATTGTCATAGGAAGGCTTTGTCTAAACTCGTCTTAATTGAGCCTCGCGCAAAGTGGTATGCAGGCTTTCGCAGGAAAAGCGTGCGATCGCACACGCACGCCCTGGCGCACGCCTACTGCTTTCGAGGAGTGCAAAATGTCACACACCTTCTTTTATTCTGAGAGCGAAATGCCCATCAATGATTGGTATTGTTGGTTTTCGAGATGAGTTTTAATGTAAATCTTTCCTTGGTACTTTTACTTCATACCCCTTCAAAAAAGGCTAAACACCTTGTCAGGATTGCGAATTAAATAGAAAATTTTGAAATAATCATAGGACCAATCTACAGTGGAATCCCGATATTATGAAACCCAGCTATAACTAATGTTCCGGTATAAAGAAAATATGTCTGGCCCCTTGGATTCTGCCGAACCCCTTACAAATTCTCTCGGTATAACGAACCCCGTATATAACAAGCTCTAATTTTTACGAACGGAATTGTATGTCCCTTCATCATGATTTTTCTCGATATGACGAACGTTTCTATAAATTTTCAATGTTATTTTGGCCTACTTTCTCCCCAGTGTATATTTATCACTTTTTCTCAGGGGAATAATTAATTTCATCAACAAAACAGACATTGGCAAACATGCACTTTTTATGACGCAAAAAATGGAAAAGAGATTTGTGCAAAAGTTGACACCTTTTCAAGGCTCTATGGCATTTCAGGGAACAAATCCAAACACAGAATACAAGAACAGACATTTTTGTCTCTGAATTTTACAAGGAAAGTTAAATGTTGTTAGAAAAAGATTTTCATTTTCGATTGCTAATTTAGCAGAAGTAGCAGACTTGACAATTATGCAAGAAAAAGTATCAGATTTGCAGAATTTTCTACCCATATACATCCCCCGCTTCAGACTTCGCTTTGCTTTAAATCTAGATTGCCATCATTAAATCTAAATCTAGAATGCCATCATTATCTTTGATGCATTATCTTTATTCGATTATTGATTATCGATTATTGACATTGACATCCGGCAAGTCAGATACATAAAATAGCTGCAATGCTTGATAACCAAGGGCCCTCTGGGCATGGATTTACACGCAAATGTGGTCATTACAACCAGATGAACGCCAAGCACCCAATGACTCTGCTAAGGATATATTATCGAGGCTGGTGAAAACTATGTAGAAACTCAAGTCTTTTAGTTTGAATTCATTGTCACATGAGTGCCTATTCCTCTTCTCCTGAGGATTTTAGTTTTCTTCTTCTTCAGCTGCTGACTGTTCAGCTGATTTCTCTCTATCTTGACACTCCACAGTTTCTTTTTTGTTCTGCTCCACAACAGTTGATTCTTTTTGTATTTTTTCTGTCGATCTTCAATCTTGGTGTTGCCTTCCTCCAATATCATTGGGATGCTCTTCGATAGCACTTTCTTGTCGCTGCTTTTTGAAGTGCACCAAGATATGTGCATTGTAAGGCCAGCTTTACTTTTGAAGTGCTCATGGCATTTCTCGTAATTGTATAAACTAACTTCACCATCCTCAACAAATGAACAGCCAGCAACTTCATGTAAATCATGTTGATGTGCTATCTTCTTTGTAAAACCAAACTTGAACAATGTGGACTGCCTTTTCTTGTCTCCCATAGCTCATATCAAAGACTGCAACTGTCCAAATTACTCTACTCCCCAACAAGACTTCGTATGAAGTGATTCTAAAATCACGAGATTTGTACAATCAGGAATCCTTTGACATTTATTCATGAAGTGTTTTATTGTTAAGGGTTTTATGATGCGGAAACTACTCAATGAAGCACTTGACACATGAATAGCAAACAATCTATGCAAGTATTGGCTGCAAATGAGTGGAACCAGCTTTTTAGTTCTTGATGCTTGCAGTTATACAAATGTTTCATATCGAAAAGTTCCTTAGGGATTTCGTTTTTAGTAGCATAAGTTCTTTAAATATTTTGGCCATCTACATGTAGGTTCCCTATAAAGTGGTTCCTTAAAAAGATAATCGTGTAGTTGGAAAGGGCACTTTGTTGGCATGGGGATAAGTTGGCTTTGGGAGTTAGTTGGAAAGGGCACTTTGTTGACATAGGGGATAAGTTGAAAAGGGCACTTAGTTGGCACAGGGGCATGGGTACTTAGTTGGCATGGGGACTTAGTCAGAAGGTGCTCTTGTTTAAGGCAATTGACAGATATAAAATTTGGTAGATATTAAGCCATATGTCAGTCAATGTTAGGCAATTAATGAGCATGTGAGTGGAATCACATTCACTGATTGGGCAATTTTGATTCAAATATTACTTAAGAACCTTAATTATTGTCAATTTCGTTTAAGATTTGGAATGCATGTTTTAAATTACATTTTTCTGACTGCTTTTCTAATGCAGCTTATGTAAATACAGGCCTTGTCCTAAGCAAAAAGAAGGTGCTCGATGAAACTAGCTCCTGAGAATGTTGAGCTCCCAATTCACACCTCTGAAATTTGTTTAAATATGTGCGGAAAATATTTAATTTGCTTTGAGAATCCCATTCTTCCATTCCAATTTTAAATTGATTAACACAGCTGCCTTTAACATCTGATATACTTTTATCTTGTTTTATAACTTAATAAAACTAAGCTAATCTTAGTTGTTTCCATTCACATTTATCTTATTTGCCTATGGCAATCACAATAACATGCTAGCTGCTAGACAAACTGCTAGAAAGTGCCAACTGAAGTTTGCCTCATTCCTTAATTTTTGTTAGAGACAGAAGTCTTGCACTGGTGACTTATCAGCTCCTCTGAATTTTACTTTATCTTTTCTGGCAAATCCACCAGAGGAAAGTGCATTTGATGTTGGAATTGATACTAACACATTCTGTGTTCAGCCGACTGAGTTTCCTGAGGCCTACTCATTTTCTTTGAACAGGACATTGAATCCAAATAAAGCAAACCTTTTTCCAACATTATTTATTGACTGTGCTTGGTCACCATCAAATATTTTGTCTAATGGCAGGTTTGTTTTTTTCTTGCTCTCTTGATAATTATTAGTTGTTTTCAGTGTCAGCCACAACCAAGCATATTGTATGCTACATGATAATGTTTATTTGTTAGCATAGAAAAGGTTTTAATTTTAATCGCATACAACATAGAATAACTACAAGGTGTAACATATCTAAAAGTAAATATGGAAATGATATGAAAAATATGGAACATATCAAATAGTACATAATTAATGTTAAAAATAAATTAATAAAACCAAAGAATTTTATGCAAGGGAATTTCTTAAATCAAGTTCTCATAGCAGTAGCTAATACTTTTACTTTTGTAGGTCTGTTGTCCACCTGTTAACTTTTATTTTGTCACCTTTCTTATTTGAAAGAAACAGTGGTTGGACAAACAACTATTCATGTGGCTGGTGGTGAAATAAATCATGCTTTACCCAGTCTCTGTCTCTTCTAGCTCTCTCCTGGCAACATTGTCATCCAACAATCGAATTTACCTTTCAAAGGAAGAGTTATTCACAGGCTGCTCAGACATAATTTTAGATGTTAGCAAAACACTGTTTGAGAATTATAAAGGAACTGACTTTACTGATCCAGTTACTAAACTGTTTTATATGGAAGCAGCAAACTTGGAAAGTTTATCAAAACAATTTTTGGAATATAGAAGGAGACAGAATTACTTGGCCATAACAGGAATAGATTGGTGTCCCTTGTTAGATCCACATGCCTACAAGGGAGTCAATTCATTAGAAAATCAAGATGAAGGAGCTCTTTCAAGACTCACAATTTCTCTACTTTGTGGTTGCAACAAGCTTGGGATGGTTTTTATCTGGCAAGTTATTGTTGATATGTTAAATGACAATGTCTCATCTAATCTTGTTGGCAGGTTTCATTTACTGAACGAATGTGCCACAAATGTTGCTTGGTATCAGCATGAACAGTCAACAAAAGGTAAGAAATTATTTCCAATAAAATAAACATGATTAATGTTTGTCTGTTTGTTGGATTTCATTTGATGCTGTAAATGAAAAGCAGTAAGGCAAATCCTTTGGCATTATTTTTTATTTGTCTTGACCTACTCTGTCCTTTGATTGTTTCATTGAAAACAGGTTTTTTTAAGTTCTTCTGACTCGCAATTAGGTTGCATTGCTGTGTCCTTTTCAAATGGTTTTATAAAGTTGTTTGCTATTGATATTGCAACCACAAAGAAAAATGATGTCACTGTAAACGAGCTGCAGCAGTATGATCTCTGGACTGAGGAGGATCTTATCCACATTACTTCAATGGAATGGCTCAAAAGGGTTAGCTTGAATTCTATATGTTTCTATGAGCATATGATTTCCTCTTTCCAACTTTTTGTGACTTTTTTCTCAATTGTATTTTAAACCAGATGAATCTAAACTTAGATGAATGCAAGGCATTGTTAGAGAATAGTCTTAAAATAAACAGACAGAAAACAACCCATTTTTATCTAGATTAAAGATGGAAATTATCATAAAATATTTGTTAGAATTTTTTTATTTTGACAATTATAATCTGAAAGAAAGTCAGAAAATAGTTCTGTATGTGCTAACCAGCTTACTGAAATTTTGTCTATGATACGCTTGAAATTGCAGGATAACAATGTCCATTTAGTGGTCATCAAAGATGCCAATATCCTTTTGTTCACAATCAACTTTGGTGAAGATCAGCAAGTGGATAGCCATTCATACAAACTGCCCCCTTGTACACATGAGCACCCTATTTCTGCCCTTTGCTGTAGAGGGGACTATATTGTCACCACTTCGTGCAATGGCTTCACGGAATTCTTTTCTATAGGTTTGTCTCATTTTTATCTTCACACTATGTAATGCTGATGCACTGCCTAAACTGTTGGTACAATCTATTCTAGCTAGAAATAGTTGTAAAATCAGGGACAGACACTTGCACATATGTGTATTGCTCGCATTTAAAAACCGTATGATATTTCTCGTTTTTAAGCATAAAAAGGCAGTGTTTTTTCAATGCTGGGGCAGGTGCACTTCTTTGATTCTAAAAATATGATTTACAGATAATATACCAATCAGTCGATCACAAAGACGCCTGAACTGATAAAAACCTCTTTTGTGTGCTTAAGGGTCGATTTTTCAATAGAGCAAATTTTTGCAGGTGATAAAAATGCGACTGTGATAAAGAACCACTGTAAGCCAGGATACAGCTGCTTTGGGATGCAGATCTCAGCGGATGGATGGCTGCTCATTCGCTTAATCAGTCCTACCAATATCTTCTATCGCCTTGGTAAAAAATGCTTGGAATCAGAGGTAATGTTTTATAACTTGAGATAACCATTGTTATTTTGAAACAAAGAAGAATTAAGAACTTATTTGTTGGCAAATGAAGTTTTTGAGTCAATTTTTTAGGTTATTCTGGCTTTTGAAAATGTCCAAATAGCACTCTCTAAATATCTTTTATTTCTGAAGGTTATGTACAACAATTGTGTTGTAGCTGTATTTATAGACAATAATTTAATTGTGCCAAAGTTGTTTAGAGAGGACCATTCGATGCTTGGTCAATGATAGTTCTGTGTACAGTAGTAGGACAAAGAAACGATCTTTTTGGTCCTGTTCCATAACATGCATGGCCTTCTCTCTGGGGTTCTATTATTGAAATAAGTAGCCGAAAATATTGAATGTTTTGCTACGTTCTATCAACATCAAATATTCATAAGTCTTTAATTTTAGGGTAAATGTAGCAGGTTCCCTTCCCCTTTTTGTAGTCTCCGAATTTCCTAAGCAGTCTTGGATTCTTCAACGAATTTCAAATTTGATTTCCCTCATATTTTGTTTGTACATTGTTTAATATGCTATTAAAGTTTATCCACTTTTCTTTCTTAACAGAAATATTTTGCAAATAGATTTTTAATTAACATCTGACACTCAGTCGCTTATTTTTAGCTTGTAATCAACCCATTCCTGTCCTTTGAAGACGCGGCACAACTCATCGCAGATTCCCATACCCCACCTGGGGTTGAGATGTACGAATATTGCAGAGTTTTGGCAAGCTATGTTGGTTTTCCAAAGCTACTTGAGAACTTTGCTGCCTCCCCAATAGATAAAACGTTGTCACCGATACAATTGCAGAAAAAACTCTTTGTTAACTGGCTAGAAAATGAGAGGAAAGAAAATCTAAAAGAACCACTGTCCAAGGAAATGTATATGCAATTGCTGTTTAACCAGAGAGCTCGACGAATATTAAGGCATGCAAAGGATTATCTAAAGACGTTTCAGGGCCTTGGTGATAAAAGTAAGTCCTCGCTTTTATGTTGCCTTGAATATCTAAATCTCGATTTTCAAATAAGGGCGTTAAAGGATGAATTTTCATCGTAGTTTTAAGTATTGTTTTTCGCAGGCACTCTATAAGAAATCACTACATTTGAGGTGGATTATTTGGAGATGCGATTTTATTTTCAAAACATTTTTAAAGCAAAAATGAATGTTTGTCTGTTGATAATGTAACAGCGCATATCTGGAAGTTTTTTTGGGGGAATGTACCCCCGAAGGAGAATGTCCCACTCTTGTTGGTCTTATTGGTTTTCCTGATCTTTGAAACGGTATTTTCAGATCAGTGATAGCTTTAAGTTTCCATCGATTCTGGCTTGCGCTAGAATTTACATTGCTCTGCCTGTAACCTTTTGAAAGATTAAGAAAAGAATTCGATTGAAGAGCAACAAGAACTCCATTTTTTTAGAGTTGTCATGCAAAGTAGAAGGTGGTTCGTATTATTACAGAATTCGATTAAGTTCCATATTTCCTCCTATTTTTCAGGTAAAAAGTTGCTATTGCTTGCTGCTGATTGGCTGGTTATTAAAAGTGATAATGAAGCATACTTTGAGTTAGCGATTTTGGTATACGAGCTAGCAGGGGATGCCCCGTCGGTTGACAGAGCTAGGGCGATCTGGGCAAAGAGATTTGCAAGTGGAACACCAAACGATGCTAGTGCTTTGGAGAGAACACGTAACAGTGTTCATTTGCCAAGCCGAGAGACTTGTCCAGTCTGTAAAGGAGATATCTTTTTAGAGAACGAGCAATTTGGAAACTGCGAGAAAGGACACAGATGGAGTAGATGTATTTGTACGTTTTTTATTATAAGCCAGGAGAGACTTCGGACTTGCTGCAACTGCGGTAGGGTGGCATCTGCTAAAGAAATAACTCAAGGCAAACCAGTGTCACTTTATCACAAACAAATTAATACGAATAAATGTCCAATATGTAACAGTCTGCTCCTGGGAACCTAAACGACTTGGCTATCAATTTTGCAGTAATCCAATCGCTTTATTTAGCAATTCAAGTAAAATTATTTGAAATTACCTACTGAAAGATAGGATACACAAGTTATACTACTACTCAGCTACAAGTTATTTTGATGACATAAAGTACAAAGATCAATCATTCTTCTTTCAGTTTACTCATGATTATGGCCTCATTGCAATGAGCCTCCTATCTGATTTCCCAAGAGTTCAAGATTGCCATTTAGTTGCCCGCCTCCCTTTGGCTTTCTTTAACCGTGATAATCTGTTCTCGTTTCGTCTTTTCGGTTCTTCAATGTCTTTCTCTTTGACCATGAGCAAATATTTCTGTGCTCTATTTGTGGCCGCGTTTCGATGGAGAACAACCCGCTGCAGTGTGCAATAACTTTATCGCACACCCATTTTAAATCTCCCGTATCAAAGAGGCTTTCAAATATCATCGTTAAATCTGAGTACTAGCTCATTTCATTTCTTGTACTAGCTCGTTATGAACTTTATTCTATTCCTTTCGTAAAAGGTCCGTATGTTCCATGTTTTTGAGATCTGCTTTCAAACGTTTAACTGTCAGTTGATTTGGAAATCGCCAACTGAAGTTGTAGAATACTCTTGATATCGCCAGGCTTCTTTGGTTATTGGAATATGCTTTCAAAATGTTTTATCTAAGACCAGACCTTCAATATGTTGTCTTGATTTTGTAATATAAATATTTTTCATATGAATGGGGTTTGCAGAAATATTGCGGTTCTTTTAATTAAGAACAATAGCAAGGCTCGAAATTCCTCGTCTTTTCATCTAGCTGATTTTTTTCAGGAAACATAACAAGTATGACTTTTACACATAAAGTCTGAAGTACGCCCATCAACGAACTTGTTTTGTGCTAATATATTTCATTTTCTAAAATGTTGAAGAAAGGCAACAGCAGATGATAGAGCGTTTTGCTCAGTTTTTATCAAATTTAAACGGTGCCTTGCCTAAGAATGATGTAAGAATAATGTTTATCAGAATTGGATCACCCTGATTCGGGAGTAAGAAATTCACTGTCATCTTCCAGACAAAACTGAATCCGATTCTTCCGTTTCATTCCAACACAGGTATTTCGTATTCATTTTCCTAAACAAGGGCACAGAACCCTTTTCATGCACTGCCACATCACAAAATGCTAAGAGAACAAGCTAACCATTGATTCACAAAAAGGATTCTCTTGAATTTTCTCTGCGAAAGCTTGGTTCAAGAAATTTCATCAAGTTTAATATGTGACAGTGTATGCCATTATGGCGCTGTTGATGTCGAATCAGATAGCACGATTGTTGAGTTTGTGCTCATTGTAGCTAGCAGCGCCCGAGTAAGCATTAAATTGGGTCTCTTACATGGTCAAAGCAGCAAGCATGCAAGTATGCATTGGCCTTGGGTATATTGTATATAAACTTTATGATGGTATAGTTTCTTTCTCACACGTTACAAGACAACCTAGAATTGGACTATGGAGAGCAAAGATCTTGCAACCCTACCTACCCAGCCCGTATCTCGTTATTTCAAGGTTTTTATTGGCATGTTAACTTTAATGTTTTCTTTGTTCATTAGTTGATGGCCGAATGGCTTCCAACTTTTTGCCCTAACAAGGTGTTGCTAGTAGGCGGAAGAAAGTGGTTCTTTCTTCTTCTTCAAAAACGGCTGGGGTTTTTTTATGGCCTGGCCGTCTTTGCGATTGGCGCACAGACAGCCCAAAAATAAATGGCCCTAATGATTAAGGAATAACATTTTCAGTTTTGTGCTTGAAAATGATTAAATTATTCTGAGGATTTACCCTTTATTCGCTAACGTTTTCTACGGTTTCCTGGAACAAATATTAAAATTCATTGCAAAAGCATGCAGTCTAAGAAAGATACAAACATTTTCCTTTCTTATAAACCTTGCTTCTGAGTTGGCAACCTTTACAATAGTCACCGGTCATTCAAGCGACTGACAGCAGAGTTGTTTCCTGGTGGTTTCGTGCTATTTTTCCTATCAGTTTCTCAATAACAAGACACTATCAACGCTTAGTTCTTGTCTAGCTATACAGTGGCTATGTATGCAGTTTAAATCGCAAAACGTCGTCAATAAATATATTGACATTTGCAACAAAAAAATTAACAACAAAGGTAAATCGATCACATATTTACATGACAAATCATTTATTACGAAATCAAAACTTGAACTAAATCAACTAGAGGTACTGATAAACTGATAAACTAACGAATTTCATTCGTGCCTAATTGCAATACGGAAGCTGGAATGCTGCAAACTGTCGCTGACAGTCCCCTTGATGTTCAAGTTAGGCCCAACTTCTAAAGTTTAGCAGCACAAGAAAGCAACGCTAAGTCAACAACATGCAAAGATTTAAAACTGTCAACAAATTGTCAAAACGCGATTTGTTAGTAGTCCTTTTTATCTAAATTAGATTTGATTATTCTGAAGTTTTAACAATTGTGTATCTTTGCAAGGGCATGGCCAGATGTTTCCCTTCGCGTAGTCAAAGATAAACGGATTACTTAATTAACAATGGAGGTTTTTCCATAAGCCCCAAAGAAGACTTTAATCAGCAAATATGACAGCCAGCAGCAGAAATACACATAACATGGTACAAATGGTGCCAAAGACTTATTAAATGCAAATAATTTATCACGAGACAAACTTCATAATTTAATACATGATATATAAAGTCTAGATATGATCGAACTCCAAGTTATTTAAAATAAAAAGGCTAAACTATCGAAAATGTAACTCTGACAATCTGCGTTAAAACCATAACTTAAGAAAAACTAAGTAATAAAAAAATCTCCAGTTGAAAAAGTGCCAGCATCTTGAAAGCTGGGGAGTAATAAAAACGGCAACGTATTATGACATTTCACGTGCATCCAACATTGACAATATTTTTTAGCTTGTTGGATCAAATCTTTGCTTGCACACGATGCGCTAAAGTGGTTAGTGTTTATCCATCACATAGTCGTATGTACAATAAAACGAAGGCCCTCCAATTCAATACGTTAGTATGTATAGATTTATACAGTGATTCATACAAAAAATAAGCTATAAAACTAAAGAACAGCTAATCGATTGATGCCCTGTTGGGAAACTCAACTGCAAGTCATCTACGGACATTACATGCTGCAAAAAATAAGTTTGATAAATTTTCAAAGGATCCCTGAAAGCTATTGGATGTCCATCGATAATAAAATAAATGACAAAATCACCTCCAAATGGTAATGTCAGTTTTGATGATTTTTCAGATTAAAATACACCATAGTCGCTAGGTAATTTATCTAATTTGATATTTAACAAACAATTTTATCATATGGAACGACTATTCTATTCTCGTTAGTGTAATAGCCCATTAAAGAGAATCATACAGATAGCAAAAAACGACAACGCTGCAACTAAGATAACAGAAACTGGCTTTCTAATTCTACAAAATAAGGGCAGGACGCTGGTGTTCACTTAACTAGTACGTCAAGGTCGACTAAATATGACCACATTCTATGACAACTACTTTGGCTGACTAGCCATACGCCTCGACTTGTATTCTATACCATAAAAATAGCTACTCGCTAAGTAGAAAATGTCTAACTACAATAAAACATACGAATCATTCTTATTTTCCTTTTGGTTCGTCGAGCATTTAATCTCCATTGCTTGAATTTTCTCACCATTTCATGTCACTGACATCAATAACCCTTGAGACTTCTTTTGTCAAAACGGCATCTGTAGCAAATACATATATCAGAAGTTTCCCAAACTGAAGCAAACTGCCTTCTTATTTTGGCTGTAGCTGGGGTCCACCGAAATTCGGTGGAGGCGCACCAGGGAATGTTTGACGTTGCTGACAATTCCTGCACGTGTTCATAAGATCCCTTGTACACTGATATCGATGGGCCGCCCAGTGCACCCGTTGACAATCGGTAGAACAATAGTTTGTATTCCAACAACAATGATAAAAAGCTTCCGAAGAGCAGTTCGAGCACCACGACTTCTTTTTTGTTGTCATAATTGCATCCCTAACAATCCTATCCGTCTCCATCTGCGCCCTTCGCACGTTTTCCTGCGCAATTCGTTTCTCAAGTTCCTCTGATTTCAATTTCCGGGTCAACTCTTCCACTTGCCGCTGTGCAGTTCCTTCGGCGTCTCTTCGAAAACTTTCGATATTACGTTGGAATTCCTCGCGATCTTTCTTCATAATTGCCTGTAGCCTCGTTTCTGCCTGTGACCGTTCCTTGGCCACGCTTTCGGTTAATTTTTCATTAGCGTCATTACGCTCTTTTTCGGTCACCTCCCTGATTCTTTCCTCACACTTCATTCGTTCTTTTTCGAGCTCCTCCGCAACTTTCTCCTCGATGGTAACTTGCATTTCCTTCTTATACAGCTCAATTGCACTTGCCTTTTCACGCTGAGCTTCTAATTGCAGTTCTTCCTTCATACCTAAAATGGCTTCTTCTGACTCCTTTTTCGTGGCTCCTAATTCTTGCCTTAATTTTTCGTTTGTTAGCTTCTCCTCCTCGAGTTCTGTTCGCGTCTCTTGCAACGTTGACTCCAATTTTTCCACCTAGACATATCATCAAAAAAATTACGCTAGCCGCAAATTCGTCTTAAGAAAGGGGGAAAGGTTTTTACTAAGATCAGAACATTATAACCCTTTAAAATAGCAGATATATGTCATGCCAAAAATATTCACCTCCAACACTGATCAACGAACAATTTGGGATAATTTTTCCTTAGCAAAAGAATAACTTACCGTTTCCCTTAACTTTGCAATCATTTTATAATCATCTGTCATTCGCATACTGTCCATGTTGATATCCCCATTTTCTCCATTGTCGCCTCCTACCGAAGCCGCGTCCAATGATTCGCTATTATTTCCATCTGAATCACAAGACAAGTTGCTTGTCAACTTCCGCTTCTTTCGGCCTCTCTTTCGCACAGCTGGTGGAGTCTCCGGTTTTTCTGATTCCTTCAGAATTTCATCGATTTCCTATAAAAAATGGGAATGAAATCTCAAAGAACACAACGATCCATGTAATACCAAGGCCCTGTCTTTAACTTCCAATTGTCTTTAAGTTTAATTTAATGATAATTTTAACCTTGGATTAAATAACTTATTCGGTACCTTTATTCCATTAACTTCCAATTTCCTCTCCTTCAAAATCCGAACGTGCTCATTCAACTCAAAAATGGCCTGGTTCCATATTTTAGACTTCTTCTTTAGCGGTGGTTTATAGCTCAAATCAAAAATGTTTTTAGCAGGGATCCACGCCCTGAAACAAAAGACAGAAACAAAATAATTAGGTACAAGATAATTTCTACAAAGTATCATTGACTTTAACACTGGAAGTAGTTGCTCTTTGATTTATTTTGCTAATCAAAATAAACAAAACAGATCGAGTTACAGCAAGTCAGAAAATCCGCAAACAAATACACCTTTAGAACAGAAAAATTCCAACAAACAAAAGCGCTTTTCACCCATATTTTGCAGACTGGATATGATTCGCCAGATGCGTATACATTCTAGAAGTCTGGAAACAAGTAAGAAAACAACCCACCTTTGATGAGGTGGACCGAAAAATCTTACGTCAACATTCAAACCATCTTCAGACCTTCTCAAAATCTAGAGCAAAGAAGATATATATATTTCAAGAAACTTAAAAAAATGGAACATTTTGCCAATAAAAAGGCAAAATGAGAAAAATAACGTCATCATACTGTAAATGAGGAACCTATTTACCTTTGCAGGCCATGGCGGATCACTCCCTAGTTTTGCATAGCCAACATCGTGGGGTTTTCTCTGTTAATTGAAGATAAGAATGGTTAGTTTATATCGTTCATATTCTTATATCATTGAGAAAGACGCCAATAAAGTTCAAATTTTGCATGACATCATCGTCATCATCATCATCATAATTCATTACAGTCAAGATTTGTCTGTTTTCAAGGGTATACTGACTGATATGTCAAAACAAGTGTCCTTTTACGTTTTGATGCATCTGAAAGGACGAAAAAGAATAAAGGAACATTAAAAAATTGATGATATGCTATATAAACCAAAGTTAATTAAATAAATATGATACAAAGAGGTGATACTTACGCAAGGGATGGAAAACCAGTTTGCAGGCCTTTTGTTTGACAAAATATAACAATCTGCGCAAATTTCAATTTGACTCAGCTAGACAGAAAAGAAATAATGTCTTAGTGATAATATATTTTCTGAAAAGATCAATCAGTTTTTCTTCTCATTGCTGATGGCAAAATGTTTCTTCATAGTCAAGCATTTTGCATCAACCTGTAGTTAAATATTTCACTCAATCTATACAGCATTGAGAGCCAGGCCTTGCCCGGAAGGGCGCTCGATCGAAAAAAGCCTTGGAGAGCGAGCCCCTCAAAACTTAAAAACAATACTAGCAAAATAAATTTTTGGAATTTGTTGAATAAACTTGATCAAGCATGAATAATTTTCCCAACAGACCGCAATATTATGATTTGCGTAAGATTACCCTTTGAGAAAATAAATTCAACAAATTGGGTTTTCGATACCATTTTTTATCTAATAAACCTCGAATAACCACCAAGGACACAGGCCATCAAACTTATTCTCCGGCAGATTTATTTGATTTTCGAGCGAGCGTTAATCTTCTGTTGAAGTACTATTTTCTATTCTTTCTTAATAATTTAAAATCATTTGTGCAAATCAGTGATCACATTTCCGCCCAAATTATCGCATTGCTTTTCAGTTTTCATTTGCTTTTGCGAGTAGTAAATGTTCTAGCGTGTCTTATAGAATGGATAGCATAGAAAAGGCAACAAAGTTAAATGTTCGACTTAAAGCCATGCTTTTTGATGAAGCAATATGTGAAGCTGAACATAACAGTAGTGATACTGACAGTGATAGAAGCTCATCAAGTGATGGTAACTTACATATCTAGAAAAATCTGAACAATTTTGAGCCTTTGTTTTATTGTATTTCTAGTTTGGTAATCATACCGTTGAATTTCTTATTTAACACTCTTCCGAAGCTCTCGATATAAAGCTCTCGATCTTCCAAGGCTCTCGAAGGATGCTCTCAAGGACATTTTAGAGGTGCGCTTTTTAACTTTTTAACAAGAAAAAAGGGCCTATCAAATGTACTGAAGCTTGAAACTGTATTAAGGTTTGTGCATTACACAAGCACATACACAACTCAGGAAGAATTTATTGAGACAGAGAACTACCTCACGCTTCCCATCACTGATGACTGTTTTTGCCAGCTCAGTCAACCCATCTTCCGCTAAAAAGAGACATTTCAAATCCATAAATTTTAGTTTGCACTGGCAATATTTGAAGTCTGATTTTGCAGCAAGTACTCGAAGGTAGTTCATGTACAGCTGATTTTGCAGACAATGAAAAGACCTGAATACATATATCTTAATGATTGGTGAATGAGCTTATGTAAAGTGAAAACCAATAACAAGTTACTTTCCTACTTACTTCTTGCTTCACTAAACCTGACAAATCAAGATGACGAATAAGAAGTTACATACCGCTGTGATATACCACAGCATTATGATAGATCCAGTCGATTTCAGCAACAAATTGTTTAACACTTGTGAATTCTTTTTTTGCTACTCGCTAAAACCAAGAAGTGATTTTACTGGAATAAACATCCATTTTGTAGGAATTTTACAGGAACAAGTATGTTAGAAACATGTCACAAATGCTTACATCAGAGTCTATTAGAGTGTTCATCATTCTTTTAGCCATCAAGTGAAACTTTGAAAACCTTCCTAATCAAAAAGCGACATAGTCTGGATGTGATGAACAAAATTATTGTGTATTCAATGGTATTCCTTTTTCCATTTGTTGTCTGTGATACTGCAAATTTTGGACTCCCCTTTAAACATGAATAAAAGAAACAACAGAGCATAATAGAAACATTAGAAGCAAGATAAAGTTCAGTAAATAGTGAATAGACAGGTGTATAAATGTAAATACATAAAATCATGCAGAAATACCTTTTCAATTTCCTCAAAGCATACTGGTTTATAAACAAACATTTTGTAATATGGTTCTTTGTCTTCCTTTACTGGATGATACAAGTCATCAGCCTGCATTTAAATAAAGAATTTAAATCAAAGCAGTAGATAAAAGTATGCAAATAAAACATCATGTTCTACAAAATGCGGAGGTACTGGGCACAAAATAAAACTAGGGAAAATTAATTGATTGAGTATCTGGGTTCAGAACACAGGCAATGTCAAAGTTGATTACTATAATTTTGATAAACATTATGCTGTGGTTGATGATGACTCTCAGTTTATAAAACAAACCTCAGTGACAGGGTTTCAAATATATTCATCGAATATTTAAGAAATTTCTTAATTGAATTTTCAACTACAATGCAACTGCTTCTTTATTAAAATAACAAAAGATCTGGCTTCAGTGCATGGATATCCTGCAATGACTTATTAATCGCATTGCACTTTCTCATTACATTTCCAATTATCACATTTAAGCAATCAACATAGTAAAGTATAAAGAGCTTCATTGCTTTCTGGATAAATTTCTCCATATGGTGACAAAGCTCTGAATTAATAAACTTATCATATTGTAGGTTCAGGTTTGATCATTGCATTTGAATTATTCCTAGGATTGATCATGCAATTCTAACTTGCATGCTGTTGTCATAGACTGAGGGTCCCTTAGGTAAACAAATGTTATCATAAATTTATGGTCCACCTATAAAATTCATGTCAAGTATGATCAACAATAGGAAAGTTATAAAAAGAACTGAATGGACCATCTACCTAAGGAACAAGTATTTTCCAAAACATAGCTACCTGCCACAAATTCCATTGTCTTATTTCAAAGCAAAAACACAGAGCCAGAGAGAGTTGAGTTATGTCATGTCAAACTTGATTGTAGAACTGAGCAGAGCTTTCTTTACACAATGACAAAATAAAAAAGGGAAAGAGTTCTGTATCCTATGGCAAATAACACAGTATCCACATAAAATTCCCAGAAAGCTAGTTGACTTAAGTTTCAAATAAAGAAAAAGTTTCATAAAGTTGATTGAAGAACAACTGTATGAAGACTTCGAAACATACCTTCTGTTTCATTCTGCTAATCGCAAATGTAAACATTGTATTGAGATCAGCAAGGTCCTTCCGATTTGTACATGGTGTAACAGTCTCAAGGTCCTATAAAGTTCAATACTGATTAATTATGTATAGTCTTTACAGGCAATTAAATCATAAAAAAGCTGGCAATTAAATCATAAAAAAGGTGAAATGCTTTCACTAACCTTGCAAACTGAGCAAACAAATTGCTTTTGAAGATCAACATTTGACAAGCCAATGCATCTTTTATGAAAGACCCTTGGACACTTTGAGCACAATGCAACTTCCCCTTCTCTGTGACATTCCCAGCAGTACCAGTCATGGCCACTATTATCATGATGCTGCAAACCAATTAAATAGCTTATTAAGATTTTTTTTGACAATACATATTTACATTCTTTACAATGTAAAGAGATATTTGGCTACTTATTTCTCAGTGCACTAACAAATCTCTGAAAAAAATCATTTATTATTTTCATTTGCTGGAGAAGTTAAATGGAACAAAATAAGCAACATGGATAAAAAAATCTACTACAGAAAACAAAGTTGCCAATATTTTACATCAACAGACTGTCAAAACAGTTTTGTTTCCAGTACATTGAATTTTCACTCTTGCATGATATTCTTAGGCATAATATTATAAATTGCCTATTTTTCTTGGTGGATTGACAATCTCAATTTCTATAAGTACTACATGCAATTTAATTCAGGCAGCACAAGGGAGTGTGACATCATAAGAGGAAATATGTGGATTAAAACATTTGCACAATGTTGGATTTGCGATGCAACTGTTGCATATTGATGCAGAGGAGCACAGAATATCTAGCACCATCTCAGACAGAAAAAATTGCTTTATTTATTTTGCATTTTCCACCATGGATGCATATTTTGTTAGTTTTTCAATTTGGAATAATAACATCATTTCATTTGATAGCAGTGGGATAAAATTAAAAAACTATTTCCAAAAACTATAGTTATGTAAAGCCTTCCTGTCAGTCTACAACAGCTGGTCTTAACCTCTGACCCACAGGCCAACTCCAGGCTTCCAGAAGATTTCATCAAGCCCACCAAATGCTTTTACCTCTAAAATATTTTTGGCTTTTACTTTCGAAACTTAAAATTCTATTTAGTTTTGTATTTTTGTTTACTCTGATATCTTTATCTCTGCAGTAAATGATAATATGTTGTTGTCCTATTTATTGGTTAGAGAGGGAGTATCAAAGCAGGATTTAATCTTTCGAATGTTTTTACTCTGACAGAGTTAAAGAACGTAAAAAAGTTTAGACATGATTTCGGAGTATAATCAGCATTTATTATAAACAGTCTTTGACATACACAGCATGACCTCAACCCTTCATCCACTTTGTGGGATCCCAGGCCCAACTTCATTCTTTTAAGTGTATGTGGCAGCATTTCTGTATGGGGCACAGGCTAATTCATTACTGCTAAACTGTGCTTTGTTTATTTCTCTTCTTCATATTATTTTGATTTCATTCAAATGTAAGAAAGTTGATTATTTGCTTCTATGCTAAAATTATTCTAAAGATTATCTTTGAAAGAGCCTTCCTTTTAATGTCAACATAACAATAATAGATAAATTTCCCAATCATCTGGAAAAGAGCAAGAATTGTTCCAGTCTTTAAATCTGGTGACGTTCAAATTGTTGACAACTATCAACCTATTTCAATCCTATGTAGCCTGAGTAAGATCATAGAGAGGATTGCATTCAATCATATTTACGCATTCCTAGTCAAGGAAGGATTGCTTAGGCTACAATCAGGATTCAGAAAACTCCACTCAATTACGTCTGCCCTCTTACACATGATAGATACAATTTACACTGACATGGATAATGGTCTATTAACTGGTGCTCTTTTTCTAGACCTAAGAAAGGCTTTTGATACCGTGAACCATCCGATCCTGTTATCCAAATTCAAATCCTTAAATCCGGAGGTTCACTTGCTACACTGGCTGTCCTCATATTTAGAGTGTAGAACGCAGTTAGTTGACTTCAATGGAAAGCTATCTCGTTCTGCAATAATTTTTACTGGTGTACCTCAGGGCTCCATCCTCGGACCACTTCTTTTCTTATTATATGTGAATGATCTACCAAGCCTTATTGATTCCCAAACAGTGATGTTTGCTGACGATACAACTATCCTGTCACATGGGCCCTCCCACAGTAGTCTTACTCCTATCATTTAAATGGACTTGGACAGTGTTAGTCTATACTCTTCTACAAACCATCTTGTCCCTCAACCTACCAAGACAAACTTTTATTTATTAGACTTAATTGGCTACGAATTGAGTACAACATTTGTACCATCATGTTTCAAATCTTCATAGGAGCTGCTCCACCATACCTTTCAGAAATGTTTATAAAAGTTGCAGATACCCATGGACATGGAACAAGAAATGCCAGTCGGGATGCATGTATATTTCAAGGGGCTCTAAGAAGCAGGGTTGCCAGATGCTTGGAATGGTTGGCGGCCAAATATTTAACGCTTGATGGCCAAAATCGGCCAGCCAAACAAAATATACAAAAAGCTACATTTTTGGCTAATTCTTTGGAGCAATAGTGTAATCAAAATTGGCTTTTTTTGTTAGAAAATCGCTCATTTGCTTTCAATTTCCGTTATATTTTACTTTGTTTCTTGCGGCCAAAATTTGGCCAACTTTTGCTTTTCGGGCAAATCAATTTTCGACGGCCAACAGCTTTGAAAAACGGCCAGAATGGAGGAATTTGGCCGTTAAAACGACCAAATGGCAACCCTGCTAAGAAGTCCTTTAAACAATATGGAGCAAGAATTTGGAACTGTTTGCCCAATTCATTGAGGCAATGTGACAATATTCATTCTTTTAAAAATAAATTTAAAAATCATTTAATGGATATCTTAAGTCGGAATCTGTTATAATAGCATTTTTAACTATCATTATAGGTTTATAACTCATTATTTAAATTTTGTATTAGGTTTTTTCTAATTTTTTATTGGTTAAATTTAGATTATTTGTACTTTTAATTTGTGAACCAAACTGAAAACAAGTTTTCAAACTTAGTTTGTTATTTACATTAAAGATTATTATACATACATACATACAATTTTGGAACCTAATTTCAAAAGACTTTAAGAATATTGCCTTGGATTTTCTTCTGCTAAAATTCTATTTTAGATGCAGTTTCTAGCCTTCCCTAGATTCATTCAATCTAACAAACATTCAATCTAAGACCAAACAGATAAACCATAATCACATTTTGGCCTTTCTTTAAAATGCATTTTGCAGTCCCAGGATCTGACTTCAAATGCTTCAAGTCAACCTAATGAAAATTAATGCTTTAGCCTTAAGATAGCAGAGTGGGGGCAAAACACACGATTTTCTGACTAAACCTGGTCCAAAAATTATAGAGTTACATAATTTTGTGAAGCTAATTGTTTGGGTTATGCTACAGTTTGGGGCTTTAAACAACTCAGTGGCCCCAGAACAAAATCCACATACTTTTCTGACCCAGCATCCAAAATACTTAAGAAACCCTGGTCTACAAGGAACGTCAACAATCATATCATTCGAACACATACATCAGCTTAAGTTCCGTTTGCAGCAACAAGTTAAAAGGCGTTTCAAAATCAATTTCAAACTGAAATCTGTGTCACTTGAAAATAAACAGATCACTAGAAATTCTAAAAAAGGTCCTTTAAAAGAGAGAAAATAAGGCAGCAGGGCTGGCAAAATGGAGCCTGCCGGTTGGAGTGTAGTGACCATTGAAACTAAGATAAGAGTTTGTTTACAACGATCCACGAATAAACAAAGAAATCAGCCCATCACATTCGGATCAGGCGTCATGCGATTCACTCGCGCCTTGTTTACGCTGTTTCTCGTGCTTACTCTGCAAAGCATGAAAGCAAGAAACGAGCAACGAAATTTTCAATCAATGTTTTAAAATTATAGCTTAATCCAACACAAAAATAAACGAAGAAGCGAAAACAAATTGGGGAGATTGGCAACAGACTGGATTAACGAGAACCCAAATACCGCCAAACTGTTGTTAGGCCCCTGCAAGCGGTGACAACCTAAAACGATTATATTGCCCGAAACCATAACAGATATATGCTATACCTTTTCGAAAGTTGCTGAGGGAATAAGCCGATAAGCGATGAGTCCCTTCCCTTTATTTTGCCCGTGATTTGATGTCGCCTTAACTTCTGTAATCAGGCCATCTTTTACTGAATACTTGAGTTGATGTTCAGTTTCTCGTTGTGTCAGCTTATAACCATCAATAACCAAAGCCCTGAATATACGTTCAAAAATTGGGCATTGTTTTTGATCCACAGTTTTCTTGATAGCATCGTGAATACCTCTAGCTATGTCTGGGTCTGAAAATCGCCGTATCTCCAGGCGGGCCATCTCACTATATTCGTGTACGACAAAATTTTCTTCCCCTGGCACGCATAATCTCTTTCAAAGCATGATGGCGGCGCGGCAAATCTGTTTCCGGCCACGCTTCAGCGATCACTATTGTTGATTGTTCTGCATATCAATGGCTTCCCACTGCAATGCAATTTTCCTCCGCAGCATATGTTGACAGCTTCCCCTTACTCTCCGTCGCAGAGGCTGTGGCAAGCAATCACTGATCAGTGCAAGCAATCGACCTTTTTGTCAGGAATGAAGAGTGTCATACCCAAGTTTTTTTGGATACTTCTTTATCTTCACATCGGTGTCTTTGTTGCTTTTTCCGGTAAATACTCTTCAAGGAGCGAAAAAATTAAATTTATTGTCTATTTTCATAAAATTTCCTCCCCTTTTTTTATTTGTCTACTTAATATACTTATTTGTCTATTTGCCATATGCCATATTTCTTTCAAGACTGCAAACAGATTCAACGGCCTTGAAGATTATGAAGTTACAAACAATTAGCCTTATGAATCCTTAAAACCAATTTTTGTACCGGAGGAGCATAGCTACGATGATGCGGTAAATTTGAATCGCCAAACAGCCACAGACAAGATTAACCCTCAACATGTATCGCCAAAAGTAATAAAACGCAGACTTTATGCACATACGGAGGTGGTTGAATTTCGTTCAAATTTGTCTGGAGAGTTTTGCAACCAAACACAACAGGATTCAGTGCAAATAGATTTGCCACCGCAGGTCAAAACTAGTGACGAAAATCTAAAATCTGGAAAGCTGTTAAAACTCAGCCAAATACGCGGCCTAATACCACACAGGTTCGACGTTTTACCAGGAAAAGACCAACAGTTAGTTTAGTCGGAGATTCACTCATAAAAGGAATTTGGAAACAGAAAATAAATCGAAGTTTTAGACACATGAACACGTTCGTCAAAACTTTCCCAGGCGCAACTACCGATAATATGGAATCTTATATAATCCCAACGCTGAAGAGAGAGCCAGTTCATCTTATTATACACTGCGGTTGCAATGACTTAAGAAGAGATGATCCTGATGTAATTGAAAAAAGATCACCAAACTTGCTTTAAATTCCAAAAAAGATCCAAAACGTTGCTGTGTCCAGCATTTTGGCACGAGGAGACTTAAACCTAATGGAAGGAAAAAGGCTAACGGTAAATTCGCGTGTGGAAGAATCACTTGCAGGAAATTCTGTTTATTAAACATGAAACAAAGCTGGCAATATTTGTTATTCGAAGATGGTATCTACTTAAATAATGAAGGTGCAAATGTTTTAAGGAGCAGTTTTGTAAATTACCTTAATGCTGTTTGACTATTCTTATCAGCGCATATCAAAATCATAAAATGAAGATGACAAATTTGTAGGTCTAGATAACACTTTATTATTCAGAATTTTTCATGTCTGATATGCCAACTAGACCTTGGTATTTCAACAGATTTCTCAGGAGAGAACCAAAACGATGAACATTTAATACCTTCAAGTTCAACCTTAGGTAGTATTTCGCCATCTCGAACTGAGAGTGAGTCACCTGCCTCATTCATCATCCAGGATATGCAAAGTTAATTCCGTTCTGTGATGTTTTTGGACTATCCAATTTGGTAAAGGATTAAACCTCTTTCACGAAGAATAATTGTTCGTCAATTGACGTCATGCTCACAAATAAACCTAGGTGTTTTCAAAATACGTCAGTTTTTGAAACTAGCCTGAGTGACTTTCGTGGTCTGATTTTAACTGTAATGAAAGTACCCATAGCTCGCCTAAAACCTAAGATTATTAAATACCGTAGCTACCAAAATTTTGACTCAGAAAATCTTTTGCAAGATGTAAGGAATACTGACTTTAAAGCAGACTCGAGTGATGCAGATCTGTCTTATAGAAATCTTTCATCTGCGTTCCGAAAACTTATCGACAAACATGCTTCTTTGAAAACTAAGATTCAGAGAGGAAATACTGCCCCTTTTATGAGTCAACAATTACAGAAGGCAATTTACACTAGATCAAGGCTCAAAAAAGACTTAATAAAAACCCTACCAAAAAAATAGAAGGAAATTCAAAAAGCAGCGTAACAAATGTGTTTCTCGTGGGAAAAAAGCCATGAAAAACCACTTTAAAGAGGCGAAAAATGGTACACTTTCCAATAAAGAATTCTGAGATTTCGAAAAATCTTTTCTTTTAAATAAAGGTGGACTACTAAGTAGCAATATTTCTCATGTGAAAAACGAAACTGGATGGAAAGAAATCTACTGGAGAGGATCAGATACCGCCGAAGCTCGTAAGTCCTGAAGCAACAACTAACTCAACACTTAGATGGCACACTTTCTGTTTTCCTTGCGGCCTACAGACAACAATTTGGCACCCAGCATGTCTTAATACGGCTGATAGAAGACTGGAAGTCTAACCTTGACAACGACTACCTTGAAGGAGCAGTCCTGATGAATCTTACCCAAGCGTTTGATTGCATTCCACATGACTTGATAATTGCCAAACTATATGCATATGGTTTCGATGAAGATGCACTTGTCCTAACCATTCGTATCTTAAGCGACGAAAACAAAGCGTTCGGATAAATAATACATACAGTTACCCCAAGGATCTGTGCTAGGCCCAATCCTGTTTAATTTTTATATAAATTATTTATTCCTTTATTTTAAACAGGCAACTTTTTATAACTATGCTGATGATAATACTGTCGCTTACTTCTCCATAAGCATGCCCGATCTTGTCAATATTTTTTTGGAAATAGAAACAGGAGTTGCTTAAACCTGGCTAGAACAAAATGAAATGTTTGCTAAACCTGAAAAATTTCATGCTTTATTGCTTAGAAAATACCAAACATATACTAGTGGAGAAGGAGAAGAGATAAACATTGGAGGTAAAATAATCAAATCTGAGGAGACTGTGAAACTTTGTCACTTTGTACTATAGATTTGATTTCGACCCACATATTTCAACTCTTTGCAAAAAAGCTGCAACACAATTAAATGTTCTCAAAAGATTAAAGACGTTTGTTGGGTTTCAGGAGAAAAAGATCCTAGCTCAGAGTTTTGTATTTTCGAATTTCTATTATTGCCCCTTGGTTTGGTACTTTTTATCTTCCAAATCATTGAAGAAGATAGAAAAAATCACAAGAACGCGCGATAAGGTTTCTCTATAATTATCAAAACAGTTCATATTGGGTAATTGCATGATGCATGTTGCTCGCCAAAGACTCCTTTGTAAGTTTGTATCGAAACATTTAAAACACTGAATCATTTAAATCCATCTTTTATGCAGAGCATTTTCAAATAAATTTATGCAGAGCAAAAATAAAGAAAGGAAAAAAGGTTACTAAATAGAGAGAAAGAGACTTGTAGCAAGTCCTCCTCTCACGTCACTTGCTTTCATCGGCCAGTATTTGTTACCGTTTTCCCCAATTTGCATAAAACTATACGTTTAAAAACTCTAATCGGCAAAATGCCAAATCTTGATCTTCTTTATCAGAATATAGAAGTGGATAAGAAACACATTTGCGCATATTCTTTGTTTGCGTGTCATTGTTTGCAACTCTTTCCTAGACTATCATCGGCGAAACGTTAGTGGGTTTACTAACCCTCAACGTTAGATATCCTAGTACTCCACCCAACATGAAATGAATGCTCCTGAAAACCCCCAACCAGGTTTACTGTTGACTTAAGCATACATCAAGCATAAGACGGGGTTACTTCTTAGTTCTTATGCAAATGACCAAATACGTTTGATGGTGATTGAATTTACCGAGTCCCTGTTCTTAACAGGATAATTCTGAATGCAGCTTTCTTTTACACATAAAAAATGCAGAAGGCAAAATAATCAGCACATGCAGAATATTCAGGTTTTCAACGAGGACGAATGCACGAGAAAAAATCACCTTCAAGGTTAAAGTCTTTGTTAGTTACAAAAATTATATATTTACAAGCTAAATGTACAATTAACACAAACACTTGCTGCTGGCCATGAGAACAAAAGCCTTTTTGAAAAGGTTAAAAGGATTAATGATAAGATACTTAAATTTGCAAAGGATATCGGAGATATAAATTTTCCAAGCCACTAAATTATAATTGTTTCGATGGCGAATTCTTCTATACTGCAACAAAATCATTTGCTAGTCACGTCATTCATGAGGACTGTTAGGGGAAAGAGGGTAAAATGTCTTCTATGACACTGGACACAAAAACGTGTAAATAAAATCAACGCTTAAATAAAAGAAGTGATTGTCCCATTACATTTAACAGTCCAAATAGAGATCTTTAACACTGACCATGATGACGTCTTGCGCCTCTGTATGCACCGCACAAGCTGACTGCTGTCTTCTGATGAACATCTTCCAGCAGATACTTTCCTGTAACTTCAAAACTGGACAAGCAAACATCAGCTTACAATTACTTAAAACTTTGCCTAAAGAGCAAAAATATCACGCTCTTCAGAAGTTCATGAAAGAAGAAGAAACTTCGAGAACGTAGACCAGCAAATACGGAAACTTCTTAAGGACTTTCACAGTCTATCAAGGGCCACTTTGCACTCAGCAACCACTTACTATTTGCAAGTAGAAGAAACTCTAGAGAGACTTGCTTAAACATTTTCCATCTTTACCAACACAACAGCGACCACGAAAGAAATAAAATTGCATCCAATATGAATTCTCCCTTTCAAGCCATTCTTCTCGGGTTGAATTTTGCATTAAAAGGGCGGTACTCTGCTACCTAACTTGTTGACAACCTGAATGGCTAGGCGCACTTAATGGTTGGGGAGCCGACTTTAATGACACTCAACTGTCGGCGATATCACGAGGACAAGATTCCACTCGATGCCTTGGTGTCGATACTCAAAGAATCCTTTGTAAAGGAAGCTCCAAGCTCCCGAAGCCACTGCGCACACGCCCCGTCCTCAGTGAAGGCTAACTCTGTTTCTATGAACTTGATTGGTAAACTAGGTCGATACCTACCCAACACAAACATCGAACATAGAAGAAAAAATATAATATTGATATTAGTTTCCAAGAAATGGTTTGGTCGAGGAGAACAAGTTTCTTTGAAATTAATAAATTAAAAAAGAAAATACAAGTTTAAACAGAAATACGAAGGGGTTAAAACAAATGAAGATCCAATTTTAGCATAGCAAAACTTGCTTATCAAATATCTTAGAGCCGGGAAATGAAAAGGACGGTAAAATGCTTGCCTTTACTTTCCTTGGAATCCTTAAAAATATATTGATAACTAATGCAAACAAATTTTATCTTGCTAATGGAAATTCAAATATCGACAAGAAGGTAAAGCAGCCAAAAGATCTTGGCATTCCCACAAATAATCAACGAGGATGATCACGTGTCCATTAAAATTATTTACCATTGTTAAAAATATGCACAATGTGGGCTCGCAAGGTTAGTTGTATTTTCTTGACAAAACTGTAAGGTCATTACAAAAATATTTTCATTTTTACGACAAGCTTCGATTTAAAACACTGAATTTTGGTCTCATTACAATTTCGACAATATAGCCAATCCAACAGTGTTTGAGTTAATTCAAAATGGAGGTCGCAAAATATAGGAAAAAGCCAAAAGAATTTTTACCCCTGGGAGCTAATACTCACCCTTACCCGAACCCTTCAATGAAGAGAAAAAGAACATGATAAAAACAAGATGGAAGGAAGTTAAACTAGCTTTCGAGGCAGCTGCATACGTCATATGTCGGAATTAACAGTGACAAATCTTTGAAAATCAATCGTGGAAGGATGAAGATGGGATGCAAAAACAATTAAGGGAAGTCTGTTGTGCAATAATAACGAGCAGGTTTGTGTAGTGAACAAACTGTGTTTAAAAGTCACCGTCACAGTTGTCTTTTTAAATCTAAAATTTGCGGTGCACGATTTACTGATGCACAATCAAAAGTGAAAAGCGCCTAAATCGAAGGAACTGATGTTAAGATCAGGTCGTATAATCTGCATTGTGAGAACAGAATCAGTGTAAAGTTCTAATGAAAAGGGCTCGAATAAACATAACTGAACTCTTGCAAACAACCTACAGCTATAAAAATACGAGGCAACTTTTTTCAGAAATTGCTATGCTATGTTGTTGTAATACTCGTTACGTTATGCTATATTAAGTTAAGATACATTATGTTATGTTACGTTACTTATCGTTATGCTACGTTTTGATATGTTATTTTACGTGATGATATGTTTTATTATGTCATGTGATGTTATTTTACGCTCTATATCGAGTTGCAAAGATATTTCGGACACATATGGACGTGAAAGCACATTGCTTAGAGACTAGGTTTTGGAGAAAGCAAAAAATGAAAATAACTTCAACCCACGATTTGAACATGATCTTCAGGGCCTGCTTTCTAACCCTTTCTGCGAAAAGATCAATCAGATAGCCAGACATATTTGGCGCTGTTAAATAGAGTTGAAAAAAGTAGTGGTAATTGCAGAGGACCCAAGCCGAGCGCAGGGCTAGAGCATGCTTAACAGCTTGGCTTTGCTTTAGTTCGGTGGAAAGAGACACCAAACAATTTGACATATCTGTTGGATCAAAGTTAAGGTCCAATCTTGCTCTTGCTTTCGAGGCAAACAACGATATATCTAAGATATAGCACAAATACATCTTGGTCAAAATTAATGATGGTCTGTTTGTTAGAAGTTGTGTGGAAACATGCTGAAACGAAGCAGCACTGAGCGACTGGAAACAATGCAGACGCATAATGAGAAGAAATACAGAAATGATGAATTGCTATGAAAGGATACCCAGAGTGTTATCAGTGTAGATGTCATATATGATCTTGTATGCAGTGAACTCGTCAGGATGGCCATTGTGTCCCTCTTTATACAGCGATTTCAGACAAGTCTGACACTGGTTAAACTCTTCTCGATCGCCCTAACCAAAAAGAAAACAAAATGATGTACACAGGCTAGCAAGTGTGTAAAACCACAATTCTTGACACACAGCGTTTGTAAACAATTATCATCGATGATTTGATATTTCCGTTTATCTCAAATGGATGAAAAAATCGGGTTGAAACCGCTGTCCAACGAGACGAGAGCTGGGTTACATAGCGATTTTCAAAGAAATTATCTGTCAAAGACTTTGTAAAGGTTCCCATGAAAAAGTGAATGTGAAAACACACCACAGCAACAACGTTGTACGCACTCACCTTTTCCAAAGCTATCCTTGCATGGGTTTCATAAACCTCGACAGTGAAGTCGTTTCGGATGCCCTGAACCTTATAATTAAACAAATTCAATTTTAGACAAACAAGATATGTGAAAGGTTATCACACTTGGAAATGATTACAGGATATTTTCTATTCACTTTTACAATTATCATGACTATAATCATGCAATTGTTTTAATTGAAGTAAAACCTCCTTAAACGAGCGCCTGTGCGATATGAGCAATGGAAAGTTTCACTGTATTTTGCTGTCAAGAAATAGAAGCAAATGTAAGAAAATAAAAAATGTTGACCGCATACCGTCAGATCCTGTCGAATCGCCTTTAGTTGTTCACAGGTATAGTGATAATCAAGAGTTGTTTTCCACTTCTGCTTAACCACCGTTAAAGACTTTTCTAAAATGGACTGTGGTCGAACCATGGACGGTTCTGGTGCCTAAATGAAAACCAGAACAAAGTGAGATGGACTCAATCAATCAAAATGCACTTATCAATTAAGAGAGTCATGCAAAAAAACTCTCCTAGATTGTTAGAAAGAAAAATTGTGTCTAAAATTGGAAATTGTGATCGCTCAAACTATTATTCGCAACAAAAAGTGCATGAGTAGGAGGTCAGGGCGTGAAAAATAACAGAATGTAACAAATACCGATGTTAGCCGGAAGTATCTTTTTTCTAACTCTTCACTTGCTCCAACAATATGAAGATCACTCCAATCAATTGACTCTTCGTCTTCATTGGTTACGTAAACGTTTAATGTTGCCGTTATCTTCTTGCCCGAGTCTTTCATTTCCTTTAGTGATTCTGAGAATCTGTTTGCTCTACTCTGTTTTCTTTGCAAAGCCTGCTCGTCTTCAACCTCTGGACTGCTCGGTGGCGTTGGAGCCCTAACAGCGTAGAAAGTGACAAAAACGTTTGTAAAAACATAGAACCTTGTCAAGAAGGCTTTCTACAAGAGAGGGACGCCCGGCATTCCTTAAAAAAACATATTCCATGACCCAACATAGCAAAAGGCAAATACCAACATTTAATAGCAAACGGAATAACAAGACATGTTAGAAACATTTTTAGAGAGCAAGAGACAAGATTTCCAAACTACTTTGACAATAATATAAAAACTTTGCGCTATTAGTGTTGAAGTTGCCAGGACAACACATTCAACTCACATCCAGTTCTTGCCTTTCTTTTTCGATATTTGCTGCTCATTTGTGCTGTCTCTCTGTCCTCTGCCTCTGCCTCTCCCTTGCCTTTTGCCTTTGCCTCTTGCACCACCAACTTTTCCTCGATAATCATCCTGCTTCTCCCGACGCTCGTCCTTTTTACGAGATGGGCTTCTGCTGTAGCTCCTACTTTCCGATCTATTTAGACTTCCATAAGGGCTCCTTGAGCGTGTCCTTGACTTTCTCCGTTGGCCCTTACTTCTGGGCTGTTTTTTGTATCTTGCAGTATCTTCAGAACTGCCAATCAAAGAGAAGCATGCAAAGTTTCAAATTTTACAACCTTTAACTGGTTGGTTTAATGTGTTTAAAGGGGCTGTCTCACAAGGGACATCCCGCGTAGCAACACGCCAGTTTACGAAAGTTGTTTGGGCGAAACACCCTGCGTTCAACAGGAAAACCAATATGGAATAGAGCAGTTGTTTGTATCCGTGCTCATCGTGCGAAGCTTTGGCATTTTTGGATGTTTTTGAAAGGAAACGAATAATAAAGGTTCTTTCTTCAGTCTCATCACCATATTTCTTTGGATAAAGGATGGCGATTCAAAAATAAAGGCCACTTTTACGGCTAAGATACCGCAACTCACAGGGAGCTGTTTATAGAAATTGGCCGAAATGACACTAAAAAACCTGCCTTACTGATGTAAATTATGAGCGAAAAGCATTATTAAACACAAATTTGGAGTAATCATTTTGTTGTAGAATGTCTAATTCCATCTAAATTTACCAAGACAAACGGAATATCTTCACCATGATTGAGTGAAGCTTCATTTCCTTAGCCTAGACCAAATTAACATACATATTTCGTTTCGATAGTCGGCACATATGCAGAAATATAGTAATTGTATAATATGCTCAGAAAATACAATTTATCGAGCTTATCGATGCACCGGAGCACCACCCGCCATTTTCCCGATGTAATGTGCAATTCAGGCTAAAAATGCACGATGTACCGTGTATTTGGTTTGTTTACAAAATCGTGACATAGCCCCTTTAAACAGTGCACAGGCTCGGCCAATGAATCATAGGTTGAACCAAAAACTTATCCAGTTAATTTCTTTATAATTCACTTGCGTAACGGTAAACCAAATTTGATATATCTTGAGACAATGAACTGATTAGATTTTCTCAGAGGGGCGATCCTTTCTTGAAGTATTCAGAGACATTTCAGGAGATTAAGAAAATCAATAATCACTCCATAAAGGTAAGCCATGTGTGAAAAAGTTTAAAATTTGACAGAGACAAAATGCTTTATTTTCTCTTGAACTTACGTTGGTAATGGTCGGTTCTCCCAATCTATGGTGTAGGCAGTTCCATCAGATAAAACAGTTTCAAGCAGCTCTTTAAAATACATTTCAAGAAGATCTTTGTCACTTTCACTGTTGCAATTGTCGAATGCATGCTTTACATAAATTCTACGAAAGAAGCATTTTATAAGAGGTAATCTGTAAAACTAAATGCCATAATTTATGCCACGAACTTTATGAGTTTGCAAAGAGCGATTTTATACCCTAATACGTAAAGAACGCATGTGTTCATAAGTTGGTCACTGTATGACATGATATAATGCTTGTTCTGGAAAGAATATTCCTAATGAATTTTTCATACTTCCTTGAATGTTAAATGTCTAAATACATACAAAGCATAAATAATACACAGAAAATAATCATAATTAATTGGGGTCTCTTAAAATCATTAAGTATGCGATACTATTGAGAGCATGTTTTCAACATTCCCGAAATTCTCTGGAAATAGTCAAAAGTAACTGAAATACAAAGATTTGTGGTCTTCATACGTACTTCAGAGCAGGAGGCCATCCTTTTGGCTTCTTTTCTTGCCTAAAACCGCCAAGAAACTTTTTAGTGTTTGCAAAATTACATTTCTATTGATGGTACACATAAACAAGGTATTGAAAATTCTAGCTTGAAAAAAAAATCACAGAAATTTATACATCACATAGCATTCAGAAAATATAAAGCAATTAGACTAGAAGAATATATATGAAAGAAGAGTAAGATCTTGAGAAGAATAAGTGCTAATTATGCAGAACATGCTTTCTTTCTCATTTATTGTACAAAACATTATTTTTTCTCTACCCATGTTTACTTTTTGATTTTATTTTATATATATACATAAACATTCTGTCATCTCTTCACATCTTTTTTTCTTTTTCTTCACTTCATTTCCTGCCTCTGTTTTCCATCTTCCTCTCTTGCCATTTTATCCCCCTTTCTGCTTTTATATTTTCCTCCTTCAAATGTCTTATGTTTCTTAGAAGCATAACATTACCAAATCAATGGTGACTTAAAAAAATAACCTCTAATAGCCTTGACTGTAATACCAACTAGAGATATGATTCTCATGCAGAATTATTTTCGGATTAAATTTTACACTATAACTTGATCGTTTAAAACATATTTTTTCCTTTCAGCATTCACAACAACACAACAATAAAAACATGTCACAAAAACACAAAAATGAGTTCATGAAGTCTTTGACCACCCCCCCACCTCCCACATCACACATTCAAAAAGAGGGAGAAAGCCTTGTCAAAAGATGCTCACCCTTCTGTATCGTTAGAATTGGTGACTACCTCATCAGCATTAACAGATGTTTCTGGCATCTCTATGTTATTTGGTTCTCTGCTAAGGTTATTGCTATTTTCTTTCTCGTCATGCTCTTCATTTTGCTTGCCATCCACAGACTGCCAAGCTGGCTTGAACTTTTTTGTTCCAACTGCGTTTTTAAATGTCATTTTGAAGCCACCTAGACAGGAAAGTAATTCATGGATATTTAGAAACAAGCAATCATAAAAATCAGTGAACTTTAAAAAAAGTCAACTCTAAAGATGCTCTCATTTATTTCTTAAAACTCACATAAAATAGAATTAGGTAAATGACTTCATTACAGCATACCAGACGTTTTAAATGACCGATAATTGATAGAATTTCACATGGAAACAGACAACCCTTCGCATAACATCCACAACAGAAGTATAAATCAAAATATTAAGAGAATATAAATGATGGATGAGCAAGGCCATAAGGAGAATGGATTGCTAATTATGCAGAAACAACTGAAGAAATATACAAACCTTGTCCTTGTTTCTTATTCATGAAATTTTGGTTTCCTTTTGCAACATCTGAATAGGATCTCTTTTGAGGAGGCTGCTGAGAGGCATGGTTCACATCTTGCCATTGAGAGGGGTAGCTCTTGCCATGTTGATATTCCATATAACTTTGCTTACAATTACTCTGATCTTCATCTTGATTTGCGTCTGCGTGTTTCTATAGAAAAGGGCATTAAATGACAGTTGTTATGCATAAACCTTAGCACAGCTTTTTGAGCCACAAATCACTGTGAATGCTTTATGCTAATACAAAAAATGTTTCCTAGCAATGACCTCTTTCAAAACATCTACAACAAGCTCTCTCTCTCTCTCTCTCTCTCTCTCTCTCTCTCTCTCTCTCTCTCTCTCTCTCTCTCTCTCTCTCTCTCTCTCTCTCTCTCTCTCTCTCTCTCTCTCTCTCTCTCTCTCTCAATATCTCAATATCTCAATATCTCAATATCTCAATATCTCAATAAACTTCTACTCAAAAACTAAATAGTTATTTTGTTGGCAAAAACATGCACAAATAAAAAAATTACAGCTAAAGGGTGCAAGTTGTGTTGAGTGAATCATTTACTTGAATCCATAATTTTCAAGCATCGTAGCATTTTCTAGTCAAGTTTAGGCATGATGTGCCCCTTACATAAGTTGATGCTACAAACCTGATAATGAACCTCAGGTTTTTGGTAAGTTATTTCTTTTCTGTTGACTTCATCCATTTGTTGTCTTGAATCAAAATTGTGCTGCATCACTGGTGGTCTCTCATGAACTGGGGGTCCCCGTGATGCTGTTGGTATTCCATGTGGGGGCCTTTGGTGCATTGGGGGTGGCATGTAATAGCCATCACTTGGGGGATAACGTGGTCTATTCTGGTATTGCTCCTGATTGTAGACATTGGGGTAAACTGGGGGCCTGAAAGGAGGCTGGGAATCATATTGCTGCTGATAATGCGGATATGGATATGATGGACCAGGTCTAAAAGAATAATAATAATAATAATAATTGGACAGGTTGAACTTCTCTCATTTATATGTATATCAACACTGCATCAACAAAGCCTCTGTATCTAAAACTTTCATATATAAATTATACAACATAAAAAGATAGTTATTCAGTCCAAGGAAAAATGTGTTCAAGGAAAAAAGTCTTAATTCACACATAAATGAGTCAAGCTTTACTGGAAGGAAAAGAATTTTGAAAAAGCTATTCAAAAAATGTTGATTTATATATGTTAAAATTTGTATTCATAGCCATATCTATATTGCAATAACTAGGAGTTTATTCAAATTATAAAAAATACTTTTTGGGTTGGTAAGCTCTTTGCCTGAACAATTAAAAATATGTTGCATGGATAACAACAATTTTCATTACATCTCTGACACTTGCACATTCTGCCTTAAAAGTAGAGAGGAAAAATTGGAAAAATAAGAATCCGATTAAAAATACACACTTTTTCAAGATAATCAACCATGCAATCATACAGTTATTTTTAATGATTGTATTTATTGAGATGGTGGTAATCAAAACAATTCCTCTATAAAACATGTTTATCCATTCATATCCAGTTTGCCTAAATATGACATATATTCATACATACATAATCCTATCTAATTTCATACACAGTCATGCTGTCAACTCTGGTTCTAATAGTACTACCTGGTGGGGCAAACTATTCATTTACATTGATCAATACATTGACAGGGGCAGTTAGCAAGAGAAACAAACTGTGATCATTCTAGCATGCCAATGGGCAAAATTACCAGGAGCATGATGGGCTCACTTGCTTTACAAAGTAAGCAGAAAAGCAGCCTATTTCCCAGAGTGCATTTATTTGTAGACCATAGAGGCTAATAAAGTTTGACCATAAACCAAAGCCTTTAATCCCTGTTTTCTATGAGGAATACAAACACAGAACAAAAGTGGAGATATTTGGAGAGGCTATTGCTGAAATTTTCAAAAGGAAAATGAAGTGGAAAGAATTTCAGTAAAAGACTACTGACAAACAAGGACACAAATCCAAACCACAGGCTGTGATTCGGGGCCACTACTCTAATAGCTTTGGAAAAATACTGTTATTAGACTATAACTCATAAGCCTAGTACAGCAACTGATTTGTGATATGTTGTAGCAGAATCCAATCAATTAAACATGTCAAAAACCACCAAGTTCATCTTTTCGAACCAATTGCGATTTTGTAATGGGAACAAATAATGCTGCAAATTTCCTTAAACATAATTTTGTCCTCTCATTAAATGAAAATACCAAAATACCAAAAAATGCCATTAATGATTAACTTGGTACTCCAACACCTAAATGTGATCTTACAAATGTTTTTCTGAACTTATTGCGTCACGCTTAACAGTACCTGTTACAAAACTTTTTGACAAAGTTCTAGCAAGTCTTATATTTAAAGGTTTCAAAGCTGTGAGACTGTCCAGTAATAAGGTTACAATTTTTTACTTTTGAAAAAGTCACCTTTAATAACCTTTAAAACAAATGTGTTGCCCACAGTTTGAAGATTGGTTTGATTGGTTGTTAACCATAAAAAGACGCCTAATGGCTTCACAAAAGTGGTTTTATTTCCGTTCACCGTGTTGTTTACAACATGGTCGCCATTTGTCAAACCTGTGCAATACTTTTGCTCACCTAGTGAATATATGAATACATGAAAATATAAAATACCTTTGATTATAGCCACCAAAAGATTGTTGTGGGTAATAATTATAATTATACTGTGTTGGTCTGTCTTGTGGCATAAAAGCTCCTGACTGATTGTAAAATGGTTCATTTTTAGGCTCTTGAGGTGGTTGATCTCTTCTTTCCTGCTTTGATTGGCCATCAATTGTTTGCAAGGCTTCTCTAGCAACCTTCCATGCAGGGTTTTCCAGCAAAACATCTCCTTCTTGACCAGTGGCCATTTTGGAAAATTGCATAGATCTTTGTGATCTCTTGCTAAATTTTTGGAGAAATTGCATTTAAGATAATCATATGATGTAATGCATGATACTATTTACTATTTGTGTAATCATAAGGCAAAAGCTGACAGGAGGAAAATCTTTCCACAAGGGTGCTGCCCAATTATATCGAACCACTCTTGGTCAGAATCAAACTCCAGTTTGCTGCTTCAAAAATCCACGTTCATTCCACTGAGCCAAACGGCCCAATGAAATGACCGAGGAATCTCCGAAGCCAACGTAGTGAGCCTTCGTCAGAGCCATTTTAACCATATATATATATATACATAAGGCAAAGGCTATATATATGGACTGTAATTTGGTTTCTCATGTCCTGATTTTGAATTCTAGATAGCGTTTTTATTGTGATGAGAAAATTAGAAGTTTTAAAACTAAAGCAAGCTCAGCAAACATATCTAATAAGGTTTCTACCATTGTTTGCAGTGTTCTTAGACGTTGAATCTAAGCTTCATTGCTCTATTTTATATTCTGTGAAAGTTACGATGGTGTACGCGTCAACAAATGGCGGCTGGCCTAAACATGCAGGCCGGGTAGTTATAAAAACGTTTAGCGTCCTTTACGAGTTTAATGTTACTAAGATTGCTAATAAAATAAATCAGTTATGGTTTGAAAAGGTTACAGAAATATGTTGCGCATTTTTTACATACATATTGTCGGCTTTAAGTCAGCAAGAAAAATCTTCACAACGTAATTCCTTCTTTTAGTTCTTCATCAACTAACTCACTCATACATACGACGGGAGTTGCATTGTGGGATACTTGTGTGATTACGACGACCCGAGTGCTCCTCCACAGCGCTTAGGATATATTGTTGGTAGTCCTCCTACTTTCCATGTTTTTCAGTTCTGCAAAGTACTTCGCTCTGTAAGATTAGTACTGATTAGCTTGTAAATTATAATTTTTTAATTTGTGTATCAGCCTTTCACGCCGTTTGCATTTATCACTATTATTGCAGAGGCGTAGTACTTAAGGGGCTCAAGGGGCTGAGTCCGTCCCTCTGTTAAAGCCCCCTTTTTCATTCGATCAATTTCTCCAATTTGATTTTTGCTAGAAACATGCTTTTCTTGCTTTCAGAACTCCTACGTTTGTGTTGCTAAACCAACCATGCTTCTAAATTTGCAATTAATAGCTATAGTCCGGAGGAACAAAAGGGTGCATTACCATCCGACGAGGGACTTTACCAGACCAACTTTTTCTAGACCAGTTTTTGGTGTAGAATTCACATCTTGATGTTGATCGGTCAGAAAAGGGGGCTTTTCCGAGATACAGGGGGTTTTGTCTAAAAACTGTGATAATATAATAATGTAATAATGATAATATAATATTTCTTTTTACACGATTTAACCCTTCAGCTACCCTAATACAATAATAATTTAGTATAAATACATTGGTTCAATTAAAAAAGATATAATTTCAATCTAAAATGCTATTCTTCCAAAAGGTCGTGTTTAAATAGACGAATCTGTCAGCTCTTCAAGTACATTAACTACAAAAAATTTCGTCGTGACAAAAAATTTTGGACAAATATTTTGACGAAATTTTTTTCGACGAAATTCAAACTGAGACGAAATTTGGTCACGACGAAATTTGGTCACGACGAAATTTTTTGCAATCAAGACTTTTGAGAATTTGCATTAAAAAACTCTTACAAGAGGTTAGGAATCAAGCTATTATATCCTTTTTATCTCTTCAATGTCGACTACGTCCTTTTTCTCATTTACATCGTCTTCATAATTATCTTTATTGTTGGGAATCATGATCATCATCATCATTGTCGGTTCTTGAACTAACTTCCTTATAACTGTTTTTCAATAAAGATAGTTCTCACTTAGTGGCGTAGCGAGAGGGAGGCAAGGGGGGCGGGTGCCCACCATGGCAAAACATATATTTGAATAAGGGCGTTTCTGGCGATCTGAAGAGTGTGGACTTCAATTTTCCCTTGATCAACTCGCTTTTGCCCTCCCCCTCAAATTTTACCATGCTGGCGACCTGTTCTAACTGTCTTTTGTCGCCCGTTTCAAAAGTTTCCACCTCTGTCTTTTTTACTCAACTGTACTACTTCTTGCATTCGTTCAAGGTATTTGCATATTTCAACCCAAATTTTGAACTCTACAGAAAACAAAATTACGAGACCAACATTTCCTGTTGGAGATGGTCTTGTGCTTTCCGAATCTTATACTTATATTCACACTAATGCTTTTAGCCTGGGTACCCTGGGTACCAGACTCACTATATCTAAAATAAATTAGAGAGTCTGGTCTAGTGCGCCCCATTCTCGTTCTGGTGTGCTGATATTAACCAATCAGGAGTGAGTGTACAGATTTCTGTACGTTCAAAGGTCGCAGCGAAACAATAAACTTAGCTCTGGTGTAAAACATTGAACAGAACACAACATAAATAAATGCTAGCGACCGTAACGATTGAGTTTTAAGATTCTGTTCAAACTGTGCTCAAAGAATATTTTCCGCATGTTGTGTAACTTGACACTGTTATACAAAAACCGGTATACAGCCTGTGAATGTGTTGTCAATGACCATTCGAAGAGAGGCTTTACAAATCTTCTTCTAGACCAGTTTTTGGTGTAGAATCAAAAAAAAACTTTTTAAAGGGTGGGAGAGGATGCTTTTCCATGTTACGGGGGGGGGGGGGTTGTCCAAATGGCACAATTTCCAAAAAAGGGGCGTCAGACTTGCTTCAATTCAGTGAAGAAGGGGCAACTGCGCCTAGTTGTCCCCTTTAATCCGCCACTGATCGTGAAATGACTTCCATTTTGCTAAATTAGCACAATGTAGCTTCCAGAATACATCGGGTGAATTTGCTAGGTCCTTCCACCTCGATATTTATAAAAATTACAGAGACCTTTAATGCGAGTTTGGAAAATCTCACGCTACGAGTACGTCGTGACGGTCCGTACTATCGCAGGGAAGGCTTCTTATGGTTATCTATTTGCATTGTATAATTTACTTAAGTTTAGTTGTTACAATTGAAGATAAACAATAATTGAGACTAACATGAAACATTTTCATAGTCTGCAAAAAGCAGTTATTTGATGCAAGAAGAAACACAGAACCTAGTTTCAGTCAGATCACTGAAATTTTTTCAATTTGTGTTGATTTGGTTGTTTTGAGTGCCAGATTTTTGATCCTTGGAAACTGAGTATCTTATTCTATAACTTGTAGTTCTAACCATTGTATCCAAATGTTATGACTTATTAGTTATAGTCCTTTATAAAAAATAACTTAGGTTATTGAGAGTTTAATGAATTTCAAGTGTAAAGATTTTAATTGATTGAATATGGATCGTTGTTTTCTTCGAGTTGGCATAAACAAAATCGTACAATCTATGCTCGAGAAAAATACGTTAAAATTGAAAGCGATCATTACACAGATAAAGTAACTATTATACTGCAACAAGATATCCTTTTCAAATAATTACCAAGAGAAAGACAGAATCTATCTGCAGAATAAAGCATGATGAGATAGCTGACTTGGATTCGATATGATGAATGTGCGTTGTTTTCAGTCCCTTTTTTGCAAGCTAAGTAAATTGTGACACACGTGAAGCTCTGTTAAACTTGTAGAATTTTGGCATTCCAGAAATGAAAACTGTTCACTTTTTCCATCCATCAGCTACAATAAGAGAAAATCTTCCTATTAAATAACATTATAAAACTGCGGCTTAGAGTTTCAAAAATTGATATTTTAGGAAGGTACCGACATTCAGTACATCTTGTGAGAAATTGGCATTCAGTAGCCACCCTGAATGGCCAAAATCAGTCTTTACAGGCTTTTGCACTTGATGTATTTGCACCCACCCGTTAACATTTTTCTCTTTTTTCTTGGTATTTGTGTTTGACTTGCCAACGTCATTGGCGTTATCCCTGCGTGTTTGTCGTAAGCATGATATTAGATAAACTCATTTAAGAGCATGGTTTGATAACGATAAATAAACTTTAGTATTTTGTACTCAAACTTGGAATTGAAACATGTGAATGGAAAGGCAGCGAAATCCCCAGTTATTTCTTAGCTGTACACGGTAAATAGCCTTTACTATTTACCATTTTAAAATTCAGATGGAGGTGGATCCATTAAGTAACACCTTTGGTGTCAACATTTCAAAAGCCAAGAGAAAAAGGATACACATTAACTAAAGTCTTAAGCTAATTAAGAATTTACGATGTTATCAACATGAAGTTTTCTTGAGCTTAGTTAAGCTTATATCACTGGAAATCAGCTGACGACTTCGATGGTTGAAAATCAAATCAAGCTTTTGGGAATCACCAAGGCCTGAAAAATACACCCAAGTTTTTAATGCAATTAAACGACACCAATTTCATTTGAAATATCGGATAAGAGTATTTTTTGTGTGGAATAGAAATAATATTCAGCTGGCGATGTGAAGTTTGTAATCTCATAAACTGATTTTAGGAAAATGGTGAGAAACTTGCATGGCTTTTCGAAGCGGCAAGATTCCATGTACAAAAACAAGAAAGGGGGTTTTCATAACTCTAGCAAATACAAAGTAAAAGATGATAAACAGAAGCGAACAGGACTTCGAGGGGAAAGCCAAGACAGTCTTGCTGAAACGTACAAAGCGCTTAAAGCTGTATTCAACATTCCATCGACGTTGCCCAGAGTCCGGGAACGACTGGCAAGGAAAGTTCTGGATAGCAAAGACGCAAGTCTTGTCGATAGCAATGGAAAGACACTGCTCATGTTGGCATGCATCGATAACAAGCTTGACATAGTGAACTTTCTTTTGGATACGTACCCAAGGAAAATAGACATGGGCAAGGTTGATTTAAAAGGGAATTCAGCCCTTCATTATGCTAGCGTTCAAGGGAGACCGGCTCTAGTTCAAAGAGTTTCAACTGCTATGGCGAAGCGCAGCATTCCTACCGGAATGAAAAACAAGGAAGGTTTGACTGCTGCAGACCTTGCTCTAAAACATGGAAATGCTTACGCAGCAGACATAATAATCAGAGACATGTCCTCTTCACGTTTAGAACTGATGCTCTCAGAAGGCAGATCGTCCAGGAGTCAAGCATCCGATTCTCGTGCAGTTTCGATTTCGGAGGGAATAACAGGCTTTGATGAAGCATTCTTTTCAGAGCCGCTATCCAGAGAAACTTCTTTTACCCTTCCGCTTATAAGAATTCCCGAAAAAAGCACTAATGAAGAAGAGAGAGAACTTGATTCCCCGGCACCAAAACCGCATTTTGAAACAAACATGAACTCAAAAATTATTTGTTCCTACTTATTAGAACTCTGTGCAGTGCAGGAGAGCAGTACCTATAGAAGGGGGTTTCAACAAAAGTGGATTTCTGTTATAGACGAAAAAACAATACCGAACATTACAATTAAAGATTCTTTGAGTAGTGAAAACTGCGGAACGCCAAGCCCTTCGGCGGCGCAAATAAACACGAGAAGACTCTCCGCAAAGATAGAAGATGCAAGTGGCGGAGCAAGCGAAAGTATTTTTCAATCACCGAAAACCCGCTTGAAAGTGAAGCTGCCTAAATTATAACGCGGTGTGAAACCATCCTCTATTATATTGCTTAACTATACGATATCCCTCTCTATGTCAATACGATGGTACGTGGAACCGGTATGGGAAGACTTGGCTTTAAGGACCTGTATATAACGATCTGAATTATCGCCACAACAGTAGATTGCTTCACCAACCAACACTTATTGGTACTTGCTTTTTTACAAGAATAAAGTTGATCCAAACAGTGAAGCTCAAAACTACTAAGACTTTAAATTAGATTTATATGAATAGCCAGCTTCGGACAGATAATCGCATATTTTTAGCTTCAATAACATTTAAATATCAGTAGATTGCCCTACGATTCGACACAACGGCAGCAGATTACCCTGTGATTCTAATCTGTCTTTCATATTACGCTATGGCCTTCCAACATGCTTTCACTTACTAAAGAGTTTGACCGTACTGTCTTTTTTAAAAACAGTTAAGAAAAGTTTCAAGAATATCAGAATTCATATAGAGTTATTCCTATCCCAACTGTATACTTCAAGTACACGGTCTTTTTGTAGCAGGTTTAGTTGCTATAGGATTGCATAGCAACATTAAATTTTACACTTAGAAAAATTGTAAGCAATTACGGCATCCGGTTCATTCAGCTTTCACTTTTATTAAGCCAGCAATTTAACACTATATATGATATAACTGCGAGTATTCTTAATGTGTTAGGCTTACGTATTTTGCTATTGTAAAATCCAAATGTACCGAAATATTTTGGCAATTTGAATACACTGTCCCTTTAAATGATATCATTTCGTTGAGGCTGCCTCCGATGTTACATAATCGACATTTTTTGATGCAAGACTATTGACGAGATATCAACTGATGTTGAAATTCCAGCCATGGCCTAATATTTCAAGCATTGGGGCTCATTCATGTTCTGCTCATTATCTAGTAGTGTTTATCAAGACTTAATAAATGAAACTTGTTGGCAGAAAATGCTTCGCCTTTTTTGGGGAAATGCAATGGTTAGAACTCACCTTTATGGCTGGTAGCAGGTACTGTTGCGGTAGTTTTAAACCTCTCGTTACTAATCATAAATTTCATGTTAATGATTCTGTTAAAGAAAGAATTTAATAATAACACTTTCTAAAACCTTTACACTTCTAAAATTGAAACTGGGCTAATCTTGATTGGGCTTTTCTATGAAGATGTTTGAAAAGAAAAAATATCAGAATATAGGGTCACGCCAAGAACTTACTTTCGTTGACATTGTTATTGCAATGCAGGGAAGGCGCCAAGAAATTCAAAGAGAGGGGAGGGGGGGGGGGCTTGAGTTGATGGCATTGTTAGATTAAAGAACCATCTTTTAAAAAACGCACTAAAATGCTTCACGATATTGTACATTTGAAGGGGCCGGCGAGAGGTTGTCGGAGGCCCTAGATATATTTGAAAAAAGTGCAGAAACTATTTGCGACCACGCTTTTTAGATTAGCTTAACATACATTTCCGAATGTTTCATGCAGTCATTTTCTTGCAGTCGTTTAACAAATTTTGTTAAACGTTAAAGTTGTTAAATTTGGAAATTAAGCCATTAAAGGATTTGCCGCATTATTTTTTTCCTTTATTTTTTTCTTTTCCTTTACTTTTTTATTTGCTTAAAAACACTTTTTTGCAAAAAAAATGGGAGGGGGCTGAAGCGGGCTGATTCGTTTTATTTCACGTAAAAGCTCCATCAAGCCCGGGGGGGGGGGGATTATTTATTCTTTCGTTCCTAGAAGGAGGCTTATTTGGGAGGGGGCTTATTTGAGAGGGGGCTTGTTAATCATTCAAATAAAACATATTTAAAAAAAGGCCACAATGATCTTGGGTCAACATCGAAAGAATCAACATCAGTATCCTCTTGACTTCTAAGGCGCACAAGGAAATCTTTACATAGACCGTATTTGATGCACATGATCTTATCATCATAACACCCGTCAAGAGCGCCACTCAATGCGCATGTTTTCTTTGTTTGACATCAGGGCCTACAGAGGGGGTCTTAATAGAGAGGGGGGCTTATTCAAAACTTTGAAATAAGAATAGGGCGTAATAGAGAGAAGGCTTAGTAGAGTGGGGTCGGGGCTTAATAGAGCTTTTACGGCATGCCGATTTACAGTGATATACACAGATTCATGATCATTTGAGCTTATTAACGATGACCTCGCAGATTCATTATGACTCGCGATGATTCTCGATCATTCACAATGATTCACGATTCTTAACACTGCTTCATGGCGATTAATGCTGGTTCACAACCATTTCCATTCATTCACAATGGTTCATGATTATGCAGAGACATCGTAAACTTGAAGTGTTTATTGTTTCAGTCGAAATTTCAAAGTTAGAAAAAGGAGCTTGCAATCACTGTAGTAAGATTCTGAAGGTGAACATGTTAAATGCGTCCCAGATTCTGGAAGTTTCTTTATGTTCCATTGACAAAACAGCTTATTGCAATTCAACCAAATGATGTGAGAAAAGTTTCATGGACATCGGTATCAAACAGTTTTGTCAATAATTGAAAATTTTATCGAATAGAAAACCTTTATTTCCACAATAGCCATTTCTTCAATTGTACGAGTGCATAATTGCTGAATTGTTACCCTGGGTACCAGACTCACTATATAGTCTGGTACCCAGGGTACTGAATTGTGTGCTGCACCTTTTTTGAAAAGGTGCCAACTTCCTTTTGGGACAGCCAAAATGAAAATTTGCAAAATTGACTTGCTGATGACGACGAGTCAACATCATTTCATAGCAGGGGCGGATCCAGAGCAAATTTGAAGGAGGGGCATTTGGTAGTGGGGGCGCTGAAAATGTTTCACAAATTGATGACGAAAGTACGCTGTTTACAACAATTTCAGATCCTAACTACTGACAGAAGGCTCTCTATTCACGTTCTAAAGGAAATTTTCACAATAATTGTGCAAAATCGTTTCCAAAAAGGGACACTAGACTTGCTTCAACTCGATGAGGGAGGGGCAACTGCCCCTAGTTGCCCCCCTTAAATCCGCCACTGTTTCGTAGCAACGAGGAACATAAAGCGGGACACTTATTAAAGGAAAATGGGGATTCTTCGCGTAGCATTCTGTTACGGAAACCGTGTCACTTCGTTGGTTATTTGCATACGTACATACTTACCTACTTACTTACTAAGTTACGTACTTACTTACTCACTTACTTACCAACCCACCTACTTACTTACAGAATTCCCCCACTCCTATATGTACTCATTCTTCGTACATAAAAATAGGAACAACTAAATACGGGGTCATAAATATGTCAGATGACAAGTAAAGATAAATAATTGAAAAATATGACATTGGCACTGAGAAGTGCTCTCATTAATATTTTACTTGCCCATCATCAAAAAGAGCAACGTCAATTTTGAAATAGCATGGTAAAAAGCACTTAAATATACGTGAACAATATTCATACATCCCACACAGCAAAAAGACTGCACTTTATCAAAACGCTTTCTAGCAACAAGTAGTAGATGGGAGTGATGGTCGGCAGATGTTATTTTCAGAGTTTGTAGGATACTGATGTTGATTCTTTCAAAGAAAACCCAGAGCACTGTGGCATTTGTAAAATATGTTTTATTTTAAATAATTGCTGCTAGTATTCTGCAGGTTTAAAAGTCAGTAGAAAATCAACAATGCTTTATTGCTTCCTTTTTTTTGTTCTTCGTCTGCCTATTAACTGCAGAACACAGTGCAGCGCAAAATCATCAACAGATGACAAGGCGTGAAACGTGATGCTACCTGTAGGCAAAACAAGCAAAGTACATTGGCCTACCTAGTAAAGCTAATGCCTGGAAATCAGATCAAGTAATGGTACACACATATTCTAGAACATGCTAGAGAGCTTAGGGTTGAAGTGAAATTGAGATAGAATAAAAATGGCGTTGTATATCTCTAGAAAGACGATTAAATAGACGATCAAAAGATATTGCTATGGATTTGTACGTGTGAAATTTTGCTAACAAAAACATTAGAGCTAACTAAAGAGCCACAAAATTGTACGTGTGAAATTTTGATAACAAAAACATTACAAAAATTTTCTATTTACATTATTTTGCCGTAGCGAAAATTGAATTCTATTGAAGTATCGCTTTTAATCAAACGCAGAATAGGAAAGTATTTCTGTGATACTTGCTATTCTAAAGATGGCTTTTATTTGACGATGGCTGTTGAAAAGGAACATTTTCAAGGATAGTCGATTTAATAGATTCTGGAATATGGCAACAAATTGACTGTTTCAATGCTATTTTGCAGCATTCAGTGCAATCTTGCAAAGGTTGCTTGCCAATGCTATTTTGCAGCATTCAGTGCATCTTTGGTTCTCTTCAGAAAAAGACTGGAATCTGCAAGCGTTTCGTGAAGCAGAACAACGTCCATCTCAAGCAACATTCCTGTCACGCGGCAGGCAGTGTCTTGATCCATGTCTTTCTCCAGCAAGGAGTAAATCAACTCCCCAAGTTCCTCGCGCATCAGTGTCAAGTCGCTGAAACGATTCATGAAAATCAGTTATCAGATAAAATAAGATTTGCCTCTGTCTTGGTAATCTAATATCCAAGGAATTTCATAGGCCATGAGAAATCTGCAGAGCGATATCGCTGCCGCAGCAAAACACTAACAGTTGGTACGACCTGGTAACAGGAAAACAAATTACCTAAATACAATTGAAAAAGGCCACTAATGTGTAGAAAAAGGAGTTCTTTTTCACCCTTGGATTCAGAATACTGTTGGTAAAACCTACAATAGACTACGGATTGGGTAACCTCAAAAGTCATGTGCTCGTGATTCTGAATGGCCAATTTCCATTCATAACTAGGTAAATATATTTCCTAGCTTTGAGTTTTCGATCAATATTCTGATGTTTTTCATATTCCATTAAAAAGTTTACAATACATATTACATACTACTTTACCTAGAACTACTTTAAAATACCACAAGAACTATACCTTGAGGAGCAAAAGACTATAACTACCCCACGGTGTTTAAAAGAAAAGTTAAAACTACATACAATTTTACAAATCACTACTATAGGAAAAGGAAACTTTTTTGGCATTAGGAGATTTGGTGGTGGTTGCATGCATATGATTGGAACGCGGATGAAACGTAAGGTCCACTCTAGTATTTTCGAGTTCAAGCCATCAGAAAGGTTTTCATTACCGTACAAAAGTAGCTGTGTCAGCCATCGCATAGAGGATAATGATTATTCCGATGTTTTTTTCTTTGAAGTGTATCAGACGAAACGCTTTAGTATGTCTCAAGATGTTTACTATTTTCAAAGGCAATTTCAAGTTATGTGCCGCTAAAATCAATCCCACAACACTTCCTTCCTTCCTAGATCCTGTAAACTTTGGGCTCTTACAACCTGTCTTCCCCTCTAGCGACCTAATCCTTTCTCCCTTTCCCTTGGTGGGGCCTAACAGTAGGCTTATGAGCCGTTCCCTAGCATCATGAAAAAAATTGATTGAACAAATGCTTAATGTACGATGAACGTCATAAAGGTTCTTAGATCATCAAAAAGTGTCGCACCTTATAAATTAATGTACTATTAACAACTTTTGAAAATGTCTGGCGGGAGATTCTTCGGACCATATGTGCGATACTATATTATGGCATAAAAATCATACAGAAGGCGCAGCTGTGTAGTTGTAAACAACAGTGGAACGTTAGAAAGGTTTCAACCAAATTTTGATGGGTGCACAAGAAAGCAACTTCTATATGTCGAATTAAAGTTGGTCATAAATTTCAGGCTAGTTGGCGATCTTGATTAAATATCAGATACTGATATAGAGTTTAAAATTGCACGCCAACTGGATTTGACATCAAGACATCAAGAACAACTAGGGTGGAAATATGCAGTGTATAGTGTTGCTATGATCGTGACAACATGCTTGCGATCCAATGAAGACATTCAACATAAAAATACTGATACGGAAACAATTGATCGATTTCAGAATCTTGGATCCTTATTTAACAACAAAGATACTCGATGAAACAAAATATGGAAAGTGAGAATATGCTGACAGGAAATTGTATTCTATGGGCTGGAACATGGAATTTTTGCCAACTTTTTGTCAAAGAGGCAAAATTTGCCTTTGAGAGGAAATGCCATCGAATAGCCGATGTGAAGAAAGACGATGGGTTATTCAAAATTGCAAACAGAATAAAAGAGACTTTTGTTTTGCACTTATTCACAGGATAAAAGAGCAAAAGTTGAACGCCATTATGCATGAAACAGCGGAAAATACTGATAGAAAAGAAAAAAACAACAGAATGGCGTGTTGAGCAAGTGGACTGGTGTGACAGAAAACAAAGGACTGTGAAGACGATCGTTGAAAGACCCAAGTGCCAGAATGGTCAGGCGTCTATGGGAGTGACACAACAGAGCATGAATGGTTGGTTATTCTTCCAGTCAAAAATTGCGAGCGAAGCCACCCTGAACAATTTTTTCTCATCTCCGTTTTTACTTTTCTAATAATCAAGCCTCCCTGCATATCAAATTTGCTAAACACATTCATTTTGCAAATCAACAACTTTTTGAGCTTGTTCTATTGGCATTACGCGCAGAGTGTTTTGCATTTCAAAAAAACAGTAACTGAATGAATGACAAAGACATGCACTTTTCCTTAGAAGAATTATCTCGGTCCGGGTGCTAGACTAAACGTGAATTTTGAAGCAAGTTGAAACATCTTTTCAGCCATATTATGCAAAAAAGTTTCTTAATTTGAGCATTAGCTGAATTTCTGATGTTCAAGGCAGGTGGTTTTGAGAAAACGCCACTCTGCTGCAGCAGGATCTTATAAATGTATCAGTCAACAGCTGAGAGCGAAGCAAAAGATAGACTGAGAGTTTTTATACAGCACACACACACTGAAACATCGTGCAATCTAGCCGAGATCTTTCTGGAAATTATCCAGAAAGACCTGCAAAAGTCTATTCTCTAAACGAAAGTTCTACCTTTGGTTTAGCAACAAATTTCGCTATAGAGTTGGATGCGAACTTTTGATGATTCAGCATAATCTAACCAAGGCACATTACAGATAAGCATCTGGAAATCTAAAGGAACGGTTTCGTTGCAGACAACTGCAGTGAGGTACAGTTTGAACAGTCTTAAAGCCAAAAATATGACATACATGATCTACTAGCAAGCAGGTAGAAGCTTTTTTGACTGGAACATTCGAAGCTTTTTATTGCATTGTAACTTTTAAAAGCAATTCTAAGGAAAGATCATTGCAGTAACTTGAAGAGATTTCGAATTGCAAGTAGCGCGTTGGAAATTCATGTGCCAGTTTATGAAGAGAAATCTTTTGCAATGCAGAAAAACACTAGCATTTTTTAATCAGCGAGCCGTTTTACATACCATAATATAGCTTATTGAATCTAAAAATGGACAAAAAACAAAAATTGAGAATCTTGAGAAAATAATCCGTCGTAAGTATAACAAATGGAGACATAAAAACAACATCTTTTGCTAGAAAAGAACGCAGTTTAACAATTTTTGCCGCAGAGAGCATTGAAACAGTACACAGTGTTTGTTATAAACAAGAAAAATAATGCAGTGAGGCTATGCTAGAAATTGCTTCGTTTCTTTAACAAAAATGTCGTCAAAGTGGATTTCCTGGCTAAAAAGGGTTATTACTTGCTTTGACAAATAAGCTTCATTTCGCTGATTGCGAGACACCGAAGATATTTTGCTACCGAAGGCGGATACTGGAGTCAATCCATATTGCCAGCTGTACGCTTTTCGACTTCAAGATTCAACTGAACGACCCAGGGCTAATTCTATCTGCATCATTCTATCTTCAAGGCCTCTTTTGCTGTTTTCTCGGGATAAATCGAATCGCAGCTAACATTTGTAGCTAACAGAAGTGTTGGAGTGACATATTTGCATACAAAAGAAGATGAGCAGGATTTCAAAAGATCGACTAGTTTCATCGTCATATAAAGGAGCTCCTTTCTTCAATGCCAATAGCGATGTTCAAGAATTTGAAATCGTTGGTAAGAAGATTGATCTGGTTGATCGAAAAAGAAAAAAACAAGTAAAATCAATTGACGCTTCACTATGCTCAGACATTGACATGGAAATTTGGCGATTCAAAGCGACACAACAGGAGAACATGCAACTGAGAAAACTAAGGTCACTAGGCACAACACAAGAATTTGACGCACAAGCATTTGGTGAAGGATTGTACAAGGGCGAGCAGCTGGTGAACGCAGGAGGGGAGTATAGTTTGGGTAAATACAAGTCTTTTAGATTATGTTGGAAATATTATTAGAAATTGAAAGCATATAAGTTTATATACATTTGGAATTCAGTATGGCATAATTGACTGCCTTAACAAAAAATTGCCATTTGAAAAAATTATTTTTTTCAAGTTTGACAGGTATATGGTATCTGTGATGACCGAAAAGGAATATTTGCCATGGTATCTCAAAATGCACTTTGGTCGATTTTTAACTATCTTAATTTGTCTACAGAAGGCGCTGGAGAGAACAGTGGAACAAGACAGACAAGTAAAGGCCTTGAATCTCCGGAAAAGCGAAGTTTATTATCGAAGAAGAGTCCGCAAATTAGGATATCTTTACCATCTGCGCATATACGAAATCCAGGTGACCAGACTGGTGACCTTGATGAAGATGGCCTATTCAAAGAGAAAACGTACATGGTATGCCAACAGTCGTCTTCCAAAGAAGCTAACTGGCGAACCACATGTGTCAATTTTCCTAAAGACACTTGGATGCTAGAGCGGAGACGCCTCTCACACAGGCATTCAAGTCTTGGCTCAACTGTCTCACTTTCATTTGCTCGACTTGACCTCGCTTGCAAGACTCCGGACCAGAGCCTAATGTCAACACCAATAAATGGCGGATACTTTGTCTTCCCACAAAACAAGGACAATTGATTGACAAGTCATAGGTCATAGGGTCATAGGGTTTAAGTTACTATATAAACAAGAGGAACTAATCATTTATTTAGTCTTTTCATGCTAAATAAGGTAATTGCTAAATAAAAGCAATGTTTTTATCTAGGCAAAATTAATCTTTACTTATGTGAAGACTTTTATGCAACATTGGCTAAATGAGTTCACGTTTACATTGCAAGAAATTCTAGGACTGTCCAGTCCTTGGGTCCTTGTTATTGGGCTATTCGAAATATCGTCTAACAAATAAAATCAGTCAGCCAATGAATATCTGTGTGACACAGAAAGATGTGACAGGTTATGCAGCAATAACAGATCCATACCCATGTGGTCATGCCAACACTTGTTTAAAAAACCAAACACTATCCCTACCAGGGCATAATGACGGAGGGGGAGGGAGCTACAGCCCCAATCAGACACAAAATTTTTCAGTAAATTTTGTAATTTTTCACTGCTTTAGCAGAATTTTTAGGAAAATGTTGTCTTCAGCCTTGCCCCAAAAATTATCTTCTGCAGTGCCCCTAAAAAGCAAATCAACCGCTAAAAGTTTTTAGGAAATGTGCTGTCACCCTTTTCACTAGATGGCCTGCCTGTCTCCAAAAGTGAGCTGTTTACAATTTTTCACCAAAAAAATAATCATACAATATTTTTAAACTGAATATTTGTTTTGAGCAAGAGCTAACTAAATAGTAGAACAGGTAACCAGATATTGATTATTCCACCTTGCGCAGACAGCCATACAAGAAAAAATATGCAGTTAGCTAGAGTGATTGACTCCTGTAACTATTATTGAGTGACAAATTCATATAATCTTGATTGCCAAACCATTTCCAGCAACTAACTAGCTACCTAACACACTCCTGTAGTCTTCCAGGAGATTCATAGGATCCATAATTTTTCAAAACAGATTGTCCTAAACCACTACTAAAATCCACCTAAACCCAAAGAATAAAAATGAGTACATTAGCATTTGGTAGAAAGTTATCAGTTGGTGGAAGAGAAAGACTAAATCAATTCTTTATAGGGGAAATGGAGTCTTGTAAGTTTATCTCATTCTCAAGAAGAGGTTAATTAAGTAACTTATAAGAGTTCTGACCTGAAGGGAAGTTTCTTATTTGTCGTCAGCTCATCAATGACAGATGCAATGTGTTTATGTAGAACTGGTGCAGAAACAAGAAGTTGTAGGACTACATCTTTATTTTGCTCCATCAAGATGCCTGTAATGAGTTCAGCTTTGGAAGGGTGTACCTCAGCAACTCGCTTGTATAAAAAATTGCCAATGAATGTATTGATATCTTCATCATTTAGCTCTGACTTTGACAGCTTTTCAAGTTGCTCTTGTTTGAATCTACAGCAAGCAAAAAAAATATTTATGATGAAATCACTTAATCGTAATTTTCAATGAAGCTAATTGTGCTTAAGGTTTCAGATACTTGCAGTTTGGTGTGTAAAACTGTTTAGGTTATTAAGTTTTGCTGAATTGTTTGGTTTTTTTCTAGCCAAATCAAAATTTGTTTTGCTCAACTGATGGCTAGTACTTTGTTTTACTTAACAGTCAGTTTGCAATCTTTGTAGATGGAGATGTTCTCTCCCTGATACCATGACTTGCCATAATTTGCAGAAGCACTACCTTCTGTAGCTGACCACAACATTGCAATAACCCATAAAAGAAATTGTATGTTTAGTAACTAGTTGGAAATAGAACAGTGTACCAAAAAAGCCACTTTTGCAAACTCATTCTTTGTTAAAGAAAATTCTGAAAAATTATTTGAAACTTTCCTGGATAAAGGCTACCCAGAAGATAATTATCATATTCAAGATCATATTGACCTGTTTTAGTTTTGACATTTAAAGTTTGTGCAAAAGGCCAATAAATGTTTATTAAAAAGTTTGCTGGAATTGCAATGTTTAAAAAGGTTGCTGGGCTGGCAATGTTTCATCAAAATTTGCAAGTCAAACAGAAAAGACCACAACCAATTGCTTTTTCATGGTGAAGCCTTGTGTAGCCTTCAGTGCTCTACAGTCATTCTCCTAACTGCTTAATTTCTATAGCAAGGCAAACAGACAAGCTGTATTTACAAAAACTAGTTTGCCCAGATAAAATTTTACTTGTCTATGGGTCAAAATTTACTCAAAAATCAACAGTGCACAAAAACATACAATTACGAAAATTTCAAAATTATTAGGCAAGCAAGTGCTTCTCTTCATTTGAGTGTTTTGGAATCTGTTTACATCAAAACAAAGATTTCAATTTGTGCAGACAGAAGGAACTTGATTTTCAGTGAGGGTTTAGTGGTGGCTGATTGATAAAGAACAGGAAACCAATCACATATGCCATTCTTCTTCTCAAGTTACTTTTGACCTGGATCTGGATACAAATTTCTCCTTACCTTTTTGTCATTATTCAACCATTATTTTTTGAGGGCTTTCATAATTTTATGAAAAATGATTCATTATGATATATTTCTGCTTTTTCTGTGTGTTTTTTAAAAATATTTATCTTGAAGGTGCCTATCTAGCCTGGTATTAAATGGATGTGTATGAGCTCTAAGGCCTTCGGTTTTTAATAGAGCTATATTACACGGGAGAGCTAGAGCATATGTTGATTACAGGAATATATACTGTACATATGTAAACACTTAACTTAAAATAGAGAACAATATTTTCTGTGCAAGAGTGATGATACCACTACTCACTTCTCAAGAAGCTCTTTTGAATCTAATTTCTTTGATGTTGGACCAGTTCTGATATCTTCCTGTCCATCATTTTCTGAACAGAATTTAACAAAGTTCTCAAATTCAGTGGGCTTTGATAGGATATGACTAAGGTCCTCTTCATTGAGCTTAAGTAATTCATCTGATACTTTCTGAGAGTTTAAACCAGGATATATTCGATCAAGTTGCAATATAAGCTCTTCCTTTCTTTTCAACAAATCATTATGTTTTGTATCTTTACCGTGCTTGACTTGCTTGGAATTGCTTAAGCTTTTAAGGCAAGTTCTGTTGGTGTCGTTGGAGGCAGCATGACCATCTTCCAGCAACTTAGCAGCCTCCTTCAACCTTCTTTCCAGCTCTTTTCGGTCTTCTTGAAGCATTTTCCACAGTTCTTCAAAATCGGACCCTGAAAGAACTATACCAGTTACCTTCTCTAACGTATCAATATCTTCTATTTCTAGATGTCTTTCAGCAAATCTAAATACTTCATCGCCTACCTTGTCAAGGTTTGATGAAGCAGTCCCCATTTTGAATGCGACTCACAAGTCACAAGTAAACGTGGCACATAAGAAGAAACGCATAATGATGTTTATACAATGCTTTTAGTAAAATGTCATCATCTGGACGTTGATAATATATCTAGCCATGCATCCTTTAATCTTATCATTTTGTTATCTGATACCATTTACATTTACAGCGTTGTTCAGCCTTGGTAATGTGTGAGCCTCGGGTCCAAAAAGAGTCTATGCTCAACCAACTCTTCTGTTGAAGTTTTGTGTACTGTCATGGCGGAGAAACGATGTTTTGGCGGGAATCGTGGCTAACATCTAGGTATAACTTATCTGTTCATAGAGGTAAGTCCTGTATGGAACCTGTCCCATTTGCAAGTGAGAATACATTTAGGTATAGTTATAAAAGTGTGTGTCTGTCGAAATCTGAAACAATTAAAACACACGGTATTTGTAAGAAACAGTAAATTTAAGTTCAGGCTGGCCTTGCTGTTCTTAATTTGTTCTTAAATTATAAGATCGTATGCAATGAAATTGCTAGTTAGCATGCTCTGCAGGTATTCCGGCTTAATCTTCAAGGTTGGAAAATTTGCAGGCAAGTTTTAAAAATCACCAAAAAAGAACCTCTTGGAAAAATCTCCTCGTTTATTAGATGAATTTTTTAATGGGGTTTCACAACATTGTTCATCATTGCATTCTACAGGAGCTCAGGTTGTTTTTAATTTGTTCTTGATTTTTGACCAATTCTGAGGCATATGTGTTCTTAAAAATTTGTTCTTATAAAGAAAAGTGTAATGTAATAAAAATATTTCACCACCTTGGGTGCACAACCAGACTGGAAACTTTGTTTCTTGCACTAATAAGTTTACTTTAAATTTTTTTGACTGAGCGCACATTTAGAAATTTGTATTGTCAATAATGCAGGCCTTCCTGGGAATGAATTAGCACAAGTGTGGCATTTCGCACCCCTAGACTGTTTTAGGCCTGGAGTGCTTATTTCTACTACATAGTATATGGAGCCTTAAAAACCTGCATTTTTAAGTCATTTCTTCAATTTTCTTTAACAATGACTGTCACACAACTTTAACAATGACTGTCTCTGGTGGCATAACGATTAAGGAAAGCTTATGAATATAGCCGGCTATCCAGGGATCTTTATAAATTTGATGCTCGAAATGTTTTAGATGCAGTTCCCTGCAATCTGTCTTGCCAACAACAATGGTGGCAGTCTTCATGAAACCCTCTAAAATGTTAATGTTTTGGCCCCAACTTTAAAAAATGTCTCATTAAAAGGAATATGAAAACAGTTAGGAAAACAACACCATTTGAAAACGGCATGATTTGAAAACGGCATGATTTGAAACAGCACAATTTGAAAATGGCACCATTTGAAAATGGCACCATTTGAAAACAGCATGATTTGAAAAAGTCACAATTTGAAAGCGGCCACTTCGAAAATGGCACGATTTGAAAATGGCACAAAACGTTTCATTGCAAATGTTTGAAACAGAACAATTCTATTGCAGATCTCCCTCTGTTTGAATCCAGAGTGCCATCGTTCTGTTTCCAAATGCAACCCTTAACAATTTTGTGCTTTTCTCACAACTTGTCATTTTCCAAATTTTTCCGTTTTCAAATAAAAAAGGATACAACATTGAATATTTTTGAGGTGTGTACCAGCACATGCGAGTGCCATTGCACGCCTTTTCCAAGAAGGCCTGATAATGTAAAACGTTATTAAAAAGGGAATTTGCTTGGCCAATATGCAAAAGTGCACAGATGGAAGATTTGATTGTGTGGGCAATATATTGCTTGCACACTATAAAGTTTTCAGTCTGGGGTGAACATGGGTGGTGGGTTTTCTACAACTACCACAACAATGCATTGCCCGTTATCACCCAATGACATCATTACCCATACTGTCTACTGAGTTTCTCGATTTCAATGAACTAACAACAAACCAGGTCTGATGTTTTTTCTTTTGCAATTCAAAAAAATTAAGTATTAAAGTAATACACTGACTTTCAAGAGCCGCCAATATATGTGTCACTTTGTTTTAGATTGAATTGGTGAAAGGTTGTTCAACAACTTTGACACCAATGTTATATTCTTGAAGTTTCTAGAAGCCTGTTCTTATATTTTGAGATCTAGAGTATCCTCTAGTCTTTGTAACATTTAATGATTTCCCAAAAGTCAACTGTGAAAGACAGCGTGAACAGCATTTTGACATCAACCATATCAGAACTGGCTAATTTTTTTCTGATAGTGCTTTTCCATATAACACAATCTGTAGTTTTTTTTAATCTATTCAATAGTTTCAAGGATTTTAAGTTTGCTCGAATGTCAGTGTAGTGATTCACCACCCAGGGTTTGTGGGTTCCAGACCTGCACATTTCACTTTTGAGGGCAACACCCTTGGGCAAGGTGTTAACACAAATTGTGCCTATCTCCATCCAGTAGTATAATTGAGTACCTGGTCCATAGTTAAATGCACCTTCTGTGGTTGCACTTCTGTTTTAGCAACTAGAGGGTATTGTGGAAGGTCAGTAGAATAGCCTTTGGGTAGATACCAAACTATACACCATCATTGGATCATTGTTCACTTCCCTGTTAACTGCCTCAATCAAAGAAAGAATTGACCAAAATATTCAAGTTGAAAGGTTTTGGAGCCCATGTAGTTTCAGAGCCTTTCCAGTCAAAACTTGCAATCCAGTTTCATTATTTTCACGAGTGTTGCATTGTAATCTTGTATGCTTTGACTTTTTGGGAATTTTTGGAAGCATTTTCAAAGTGCCAAGTGGTTTCAATTTTGTGGGACAATGTGATCATGGAGGCAGACCATGAGCCAAGTTCACACTTATTGGAAGATAAGGAACAAATAAGCAAGTTGTGGATGCTTATTACAAGTGTAAATCAAGATTAATTTTTGTTTATCTAATTTCCATCTGTTTCTATTATAGCATTGGAGAAATATGAATAATTTGAAGACACTGATAGAAACTTTAGATAGAAGACAGTATGAAGTGCTTGATGGTCCAAATCAGGTGGGAAGATTTGCATTGAGATTCTGTTTGTCTACTTTCATGTTTAACCCCCACTTTTAGACATAATTTTTCAAACAACGTTTTTTTAACATGAAGACTTAAGAATGCCATTGTAAACTGAATTTTTATAGAAGAGCAGCACAGTCAGACCTCTCTTGAAACAAAACCAACATAACATTGTATGATTTTTGCATCTCAGTTTTAGTTGTTCAACCATTTTTTAGATTTGAGCTCTGAAAATCTTGCTCTGTTTGATATCCTATATTCTAATTTGCTCTTTATCATAGCTTTGTTAGCTGTAAAATCAGCACTCATTTTTGCCATAATTCATAGATATAAGGCTCATCAATAAACATGTTAAATATAGAAACATTTTGACAAATGACATTTAAAGAGTTTGTTAAGAGTAAGTTTGTTGATAGCAAAATGTGATATGACATGTAAAAAATTCTTAACACCAGATTTTCAGCATCACATATTTTTGCAATCAACAAATCATATACAGAGTATGCACTAATGGTTTTAGGGAGAAGAAAAAAATGCTTACCTTGTTTACAAGCTGGCAGCTGTTAAATGTGAAAAGCAGCTCGAGGAACGGAGAAAAATAAGACATGCAAGGTTACTAAATAGAGTTGCAGAAATTGATGATGAGCTTAAGGTTTGGCCTTTAACATATTATTAGCAGCTATTTATTTTAAGTGATTTTGTTTTTGTTCAACACTGGTTGTAATCTTTACATCATAAATTTCCATGGATATCTTTTCAACTGTTTTTTTGTTTTTCAAACCTGTTTGCAGTTTAACACCTATTTATAGATTCGAAAGATACTATACTTTCTCATTTAAATGGTATACTAACCCAAGTGAAAATGAAATTATTGACCAAAGTAATGATTGTGGGCGAAAGTGAAGAAAAAGGGAGTGGAATCACCTCAGGTTTCAAATTGATTGCAATCTTTTCTTGCAGTTTCTTTGTAGGGAATTTTAAGTAAACTTTCTTTGCTGCAGTAAACTTGCAGTTAATTTCTTAAGCAAAACTAGTCCTTGTAATCAAACCTTTTCAAGGGAAAATGCCACTTGTCCTGATAAAAGCCAATAAAAAGAGATTTATGTTTGAGATATTTTCAGTCGACATAAATAAATTGGCTAGTATCAGTTTCTCTGGTAATGTTGGCGCCATCTTATATTTGTATATAAACAACACAAACATTTTGGTCTGTAGACGGGACTGTATTGGCTTCTTTGAATTTTTGTCTCCTTTGTGTTCAGTACAGTAGTTTTTTGTTTCTTGCTGAATGAACTAAGGCTTTTAAGACTTGTTAAAAGACCAGCTATCTTCACTGCCAGCCTTCCACATAATAGTAAACGTGGCCATGACTACGATCTTGAGTGGATTTGTTTTATGAGGATCAGAAAGCTCAGCATAGTCGTAAGAATTTTTGAGGAAACGATGTGAACCTTCTTGAGCACTATACTACAGCTATGTCTTCCACTGTTTTGCTATTTTACTACTCAAATGCTTCTTAAAATTTTATCAATGCATGATGAAAGCTACCTTACCTGTTTGCAATGCTAATGTAGAAAAGTATGTTTTCTTCAAACACAGGCGAAAAAATTGAAAGAACCAAGTTTTACCAGACCACAGGTCCAAGACGCTGATTTGCTTGCATCTCCCACAAGAAGCATGAAGATGCCTGCATTCATGGATCACAACTTCAACCGTGTTGGGGATGATGATGACATAACAGAAAGCAAAGAAGCAAGTGCTCTTGTGGAAACGTTTTCAAAGCTTGAGGACTTGAAGAATCAAGAGAAAATGCTCGAGGGCTGGTACGGATCAATGTCAGATCAACTGGAGCAGGAGCAGAGGAAATTAACCGAGAGATTCAATGAAATGCGTGTGAAAATTTTACAGCAGAAGCAGTATTATCTTAAAACTAGCCAAGAGTACATTAACAATATTAGCTCAAGTTCAGAAATGAATGGACGACATATTGAACACGAGACTAGTGCCACGAGGGTAATGGAGGATACACACTTGGAACCACAGCACCAGCTAGAGGCTGAGGTTAAGCAGAATAAAATGGCCAATCAGCATTTTTCAGATGCTAAATGGAAACAGGCTTCGCCAAAACGTTCTTTGTTTTTTGATGACATTATTAATAAGGAGCCTTCGCGCCAAAAAACTGCTTCGGCTGTTCAGAACCGGAAAGGCAGAAGATACGTGGCCTTCAGAGAGACTGAACCTGGAGAACATGGGCAAAGTCAGGCTGGAGAGAAAGCCATAGAAGTGAGCGAGAATGAGATGCTGGTGAAGGAGCATTCAGGTAGCCCTGTAGCCTACGATTTGAGTGGTCTCATCGAGAAAACACTTACGATATCGCCTATACAGGATAAACCATTGACTGAAAAAGCAAAGTCTGCAAGCAGATCGTCTTTGCAAATGAAGCACAGATTTTACGCAGAGGTTCAAGACAAGAGCAATAATTTTTCAGCAAATATCAGTTCGTCGACTCCGATTAGTAAAGGCAGTTCATTTGAAACTAGAGAAGGAGAATACAAAGGCATAAACAGAGGAAGAATATCTGGTTTTGAAAACACGAATGAAATTCAATTGTCGAAGGTAAAGGTGTTTTTTATGACGAAAACAGAATTGAGCACTCGCTTAGAATTAAAGCTTTCGTGATTTGCTCGTGTAACAACTCATCGAACGTCAGTTTTATCGTCGTTATCGATTCTCTTGCAACTGACGTCTCTGTTAAATTTGTGTCGTTTTTAACTAGTTGGCTCAAGCTTTACGCTGAAATTGTTCTTCTTGACAATATCAGCATGGTTTCTTTTGTTACACAAAACCCAGGAAATTAAAGGCCAAACGGGCCAAATTCCGGAAGTCTTGATAAACTCGAGCATTGACAAATCTCGGACTTCAATGTTATGAAATAGAATCCTTTACTTTTCATGCAGTGCACCATTGCAAAATGTTTGTTTCTCAGCTTTTGCCAAGTGAATTAAAATCAACAATCTGTAACTTGTTTTTTCTCTCGCAATTTAGCGAAGCTGTGATTTTCTTTTTGCCGCTGCCCAAGGGCACCTGACGAGGAAACTTATGAACACTGACAAAGTCCAGGAGCTTATCAAGACAATCAAGGTAGAAAGAAAGTTGTTTTGTTTTTATGAGAGATTTGATGCTTTTCGTAAGAGTTTATGCAAGCAGGGTGTTGATAATGCACATCGATAATCCTGCTCGTCATGAGTGTCACGTCATTAACCACTTATAGCTTCGATCAAGAAGTCTTGAAAGTAACAAAAAATAGGTATCGAATTCGCGGGAAATGAAGAATCAAACGAGTATAAGGAAAGCATTCAAGAGAGATGCTTGCAACGTTTGATTCTGTGATGCAAAATAACGAAAGCAGTTTGCGGCCAGGCTTCTTTTTTCCCCACCATCAAGTGTAGGCCAGCAGTTGATACTCGAGTTAAGACTGGGCTGGAACGGTGTTTTTTCTTACTGTGCGTCATTTGCATCTTCTCGGATGCGCATTTGCCTAAATTCCCAATGTTGTTTTGCCAGTCTCCATTTGTATTGACGGGCTCTGTTAAAGTGACTGAAGTGTCGTTTGATTTAAGCACTAATTCGTATTTTGGGCGTTTTTAAATACCATAGGACACAAGAGTAGTCTTGCGTGATTTGGAAAAGGAAGCAACGGTTAGCAAGAAATTGCATGAATCCAAAGCAGACTTTGCTCTAAAAACGACATTGCTTCACGAGGTACGGTTTTTCTTTTTGTTTAGGTGGTTCAAATGCGATTACTTCTGATAAATTTTGCTATTTTGGGATTGAGCTTTTTTGGCCTATTTCTGCTACTTCTATTAATTTCAAGAACCATTGATTTCCAAGTGTTTTTTCTCATATTTTTATCCACTGATCCTAATTCCTATTTAGTTTCACTGTTACTTCTTAAAGATCTGTCTCACTTTTATTTTATAAAACCAGAAAGCTTTTTATTCCATTTTCTTATTAGCCTATAAAGTTGATAGCACTTGCTCTCTCAAATATGACTACGACGATAAATGCAATTATTACATTTTCTGATGGTGCAAACCATCTCCGCATCAAGTATAATTCCAGCACGACTCTCACGGAGACTTCAACCAAACTTGGCTCTGATCTTTGCTCAAACAAAGTTAATGCTACGATAGATGTGATTTTTTAGTCAAATATCGGGTAAAAATGAACTTAAAAAGAGACAAAAATACTAGATAGATTATGGATTGAGCAGACTAAGGGTAGTTAAACAGACTCCAGAAATTCACGTAATTTTCTTATTTTTTAGACAGCAACCTATAAATTTAACCCGCATTTAAAGGAAGGCTAAATTCTTCGTCCCAGTTTACTTCTGGCCGCATAAATAAATATGATTCACCGTAACAGCTGCGATTGTTGCCTGCAGTGCTCTTTGCTCTTTTCCAGCTGCAAAATGCACAGAGCAAGCTACATTCGATATTCATGGCCTACTCGCCGGCAGCCAAAGTTGAGATGATGAAGAGATCTAGAGCTGCAGCAGTGGATCGTGAGAACAAACACCTTTTCAAGGCAAGCGCTCCATGTTGTTTACGCAAAAGCAGAAGAATCTTTGATGCTTTTATTCTCATCCTGTAACCAAATTCTCTGCAGCGTTATTGAGTGGATCAGAAGTGACTCCAAGGCCCGAGTAAAATTTCTGACCCTCCAAAAAAGTCAATTAAAAACAGCAGTTCTGAATTTCATGATAAAAGCTTAAATGTATCTGTTATGCTGCTACCTGTAATTTTCACCTTTTGTTAATCTTAAATTCTATAGCACATATTTTTTTCGCAACGCAGGATAGAAGTTCGTCTTTGAACCAACCAAAGAGACTCTCTACAGCAACTCGTAGGACGCTGCGCAGAAGACAAGAAACTTCCCTGTATCCTTTGCTCGTTTCATTGTTGTACCCAGGGTAGTTTCATTGCTTCATTTGTGTGGTTTGTCTGCTGTTAAATTTCCAATCCTTTGCGCGTTTTCTCAGATTTAGACCTTTTCATCTCAATGTGAAATTGCTGTGTGTGCTATTTGCTTATTGAGAGTGTGATTTATAACCATTTATTGCTGGGCTCAGGTCATCTACAATGCCTGCCAAAAGTCTTGGAACACTAACGTGAATTTCCAAAGTCAAAATCAATCATCCCCCTCTCCCCCACAGAACAATGTTTGGTTACTATCAAACGGGTTAGGATTTTAGGAAGCACTTTGTTTTGCGCTTCTTTTATGATATTTCTCTAAATTACCAACATTGTTTTAGGGGGAATGGTGCAGAACGAATAATTTTTCTCATGAAAGGAATGAAAGATATCAAATGCAGCGTAAATTGCTGGGTGTTCCAAGTACTTTTGGAAGGCATTGTAGTTGTATTTTCAAGCTCTTCCAATAAGACTGTCAGTGTCGGAATTGCAGGGTTGAATGTGGAGAGAACCTCCAGCTTTTGCTAAATTAGGGCTTTTGTCGGTTATAATATCGTTTGTCGGCAAATTTGTTTGTTTTTGGAGGTTTCGCCCCTCCCCCCCCCTCTTAAAAAGGAATTCCGCCTCTGAAGACTGCGTTGCTTCGATGGCTCCATATCGCACCCCTCTTTTCTGTTTCTTAACATGATTTAGACACGATAAAAGCATACCTAGACCCCATACCTCACCAGCGACCAAGAACGTTCAAACTGGAAGAAAAGAAAGAAAAAGCTGGGACATTAGGTGAGTTGCTTATTTGGACTTACATACCTAATATTTGGTAATATACACACCTAATTTAGTTGGATTACTCATGTCAAAAAAGGTCTAATCATAGATTGAATTGATATTTGCTCTTTGTTTCCAGTTTTTAATCCGGAATTCCGCCAATTTTCTCGCCAGTTTTATTCACATTTATAATTGTGTAGGTGGATGCTATATTACTAACGTATAAAGAAACCAATGTGTCATATCTTAACCTTTTTTAGATCGTTGAGACCAACACCAAGCAGCAGCTCTCCTTTTCAAATCTCACGAACAAGGTAAGCCCCTGCAGCAAATTCTCGCAGCAAGCACGGCGTATCTTGGGATCTACGGTGCGTCAGACATATCCCGTAAACATATCTAATCCATAGAACTGCTGCTGTAAACATAGAATTGCTGCTGGAGAAGCCTATCTAGAAGTATTCATATCAATGATGTATAATTTGCAGCAACATTATGGAAAAGAAACTTCTTGACCGGGCTGGTAAAAGTAGACCAACTTGACTAGTCTGACAATGTATCACTTGAATAATGTGTCATTTTATCGATGAAAACAACTTTTTTAGCCAAACCAGTAGATAGTAAACAATTCAAGTAAAAAATTGCAATTTTAGACTAGCAGTTCAGCCTTCAACTCATCAGTATTCAACATATTCAACCATTCACATTCACATCGCCGTAACACTTGGACTGGCCTCTTTGCTAGTACTCTCGTCTCAGTGTCTCATAAACAGAACGAGAATACACAGGGCAATCTTCACACTCACAGTCCTGCTCTCAGAAATGGCCTGACCAAACGGTTTTCAAAACAGCGCTCTTTGGCCTACATAGGTGAATCCTCAACCAATCAAGTCACTACTGCTTGTGACATGTCATGATGACCCTTTCGACGAGGTCCTACTCCTCAGATTGAGCAGGATTGCCCTTTGTTCTATTCTATTGTGAAGCAGGACCAAATTTGCAAAAGCCCATTGTGAAGCATGACCAAACATAGGGTATCATACTTATAAGCAGGACCAAAATACAGGGTTGCCGTATTAAAAAGCAGGACTCGGGACGCCTGTATCAGCTCGCGGAACTGGGAGCTGTTTATCAAATAGAATTTAAAACTTCCTTTTTCAAGTGAAGGAATGATTTTATTGATTCCAGGAAATCGTGTCTTTGGAAATTCTTGCAGGACCTTTAGCTTCGTCACTGCATTCAATTTGTTCTAATAAACTCAAGATTGCAAAAGTGCTTCCGTTATTCAAGTCAGGACCAAAAAAGAACCTCGATAACTATGGAACAGGGCTCGCGCCACCAATTCAAAGTGGGGGCGGGGGGCAAAAAGGGGGTACCTATCTTGTCCTTGCAACAAAAGCGGTATTTGGGGGGCAATGTTTCTTCCAATGCTCCAAATACGATAGTATATGTTTAGAGGCATCAGAAAAGTTTAAAAAAAGCTGGAATTTTCCAAAGTGATGTTTATGTTTCAAAGGGATGAAGCTTTTCAAAAGTATTTCTGAAGTTTATAGAGCAGGTTCTGGTACATCTATTACAAAGAAAGCGACCAAATAAAATTGCTAGGCAGGATTGGCAGAATAACTCTGACAAAGCAAACTAGCCATACAGTTTATTGACATTTGCGCTGGAAAAGAATTCAGTAAACTTTGATGAGCAACTTGACTTCCTGGTCAAAAAATAAATGACCTTACTTGTGCATTCGGGATAGTGTGTTTGGAATTACCCTTGATATGATGATGTTTTGAATTACCTTGAGCCATGCCAGTAAAGAAACTTGGCTTAAGAGAAATATTTTTAATGACAGGCATTACAAAGTAAGGAAAATTCAGTTAATAGATTCGAGATTTTAGCAAAGGGAAACATTTTTTTAAAGGCAAGGACCAGACAAGCCCATTAAAATAGTCAATAAGTTTCTGCCATTCCTAATTAATCTGCCATTCATTGGTTGGTGCTTTGCCATTTGGTTGGTTGTTCAATACCCTTCAAACCTTCATATTATATTGCAGAATAGATGTAACAATTGCCAATTCTAGTTTTAATATTTTATCACTCATTGTCAATAGATTTCTTGTAGCTATCAGCCGACCACAATTTGCCAAAGAGAAGAAAAATTGCTTGCCTTTTACAATTTATACTTTTCTACATTAAATTATGACCACTTTTTTGCTCTTTGGCACTGATAAAACTTGGCTTAAATCCAAAGGTCTTAAATACAGCAATGAACCATTTTATCTTACTTTATTAAAACAGTTTTCATTTTTTTCAGAGAACAGAAGCAAGTCACAGTACTTAAAGAGGTGGAGATTGTTAATATCCCAGAGCCTTCAATGCAACGAAAAAAACAAACTGGGCCACCAAAAAAGGTGTCAAGAAAGAAAATGGTATTAGCAACAACTTTAAATAGGAGGGCAAACTCTCCAAATGGTTAGCGCTTTCAATGTCTATCCACCTGTGAAGCAGTATTTTTTTAATAGTAGGTAATCCAATGGAGTACAAGTTTGCAGTAAGTCTGTCAAGCAGAATTATGAATTTTAGGATTACATAGTATGGCTGCTAACATACTATGTTAATTTTTATGGAGTTAAAATACTTGTAGAGGTGGATAAAGCACAAAAAGATTTTAGCATGTTTTGTCTTCCTTTTCTGTCCAACTTTCTTTCTGTCCCATCATTACATGGCCAACACAACTCAAGGGAAGTTGATATTGAAAGTGCCACAATACATTTTGAGCACTCATTTAAGGTGCCAGCTTATCTTTGTGGTATATACAATTAACTCTATAAAATAAATTAATTCCTTTTTTTAATAGCAATAAACTGATTGAGATGATTGTACCTACTGATGCACAAAGTTAGTTAATTTACTTAAAATAGCTTAGAGATAGGATCGCAGGTAGATCATAAAACGGCTCAGTGGCCACTTTTCAATAGCATTTAAACCCCAAAGGAAGGTACTTTTTCTGATAAGAGAGAGCTTATTCTGAAAAAGGGACAATATCCTGACAAACCTTATCTGGAAAAGGGGACTTTCAGTCATGATATATTCACCATCAAATTTGATCACTTTTACATACTGCTTTGATCATTTATCATCATGTTTAAAATACATTGATAAACTTACTGTCCAGTAGCTTTTTGTAACAGTTAGTTAAAGTTTATGTAATTGTGAAAAATAGTATTACAGTCCCTAGCCATACTTGAGGAACCTTCTTCCTGGAACCTAATCTCTGTTTTCTGTTGGAACTTTTCCTTGTGTACCATAGTCTCTATTTAGCCCCCACTTCCAATAAGCCCCCACTTCCAATAAGCCCCCACTTCCAATAAGCCCCCACTTCCAATAAGCCCCCAATTCCAATAAGCCCCCACTTCCAATAAGCCCCCTTTCCCAACACATACAAGAGAGTTAGTAAAGACAATTCAAAAATTTAGTGACAGCTTATGACAGTAGGTGATTGGGTTTCTTGTGAAAAATTTCCATTTATATCATATTTTTTAAATGGACACTGTCTCCCAGTTCAATTTCAGCTAAAACTCCTGTAAAAAATTTCATAGCAAGAGTGGTAAGGCAAATAATCAACAAGTTTTTATGTACAATATTGAAATTGTGGAGATATATCTAGACATGCATCATCTTTCGCTCCCCTCTCCAATTACCTCTTTCAGCCCCTCTGGAAGCATCACAAGTAAATATTATTTCAAAGTTGGCTAACTAGAGCATTCAAAAAATCTTATCAGATGTTCTATCATACAAAAGCTTTTTGGTGAATACAGATTTCTGATAGGCAGAAATGTCTTTACTGGTTCATTTTGACAAAATGGTACCTCATTTTCTGAACAAAATTGTGAACTGCAAGTAAAACTGTCTTGTTGAAAATTGGCAAGCAAACAAATATCGCTTAACATCAAAGGTATGACCTTATCTAACCAAATCAACAAGCTTTGGTATATTTGCTTTCATTGCAAATTTGTTTAAACTCAGTTTAGCATGAAGGTTAAGGTTTCACATCACAACCTGAATCCACTATTCAAACTGACCTTATCAGCAAAACTTAAAGTTAAAGCAGTCTTCTCAGTGGGTTACAACAACAGTCTTCTCAGTGGGTTTAAGGTAATACAACAGAAAAATTGAAAATTTGAACTTTTAATTTATGTTGTGACAAAACACTTCTCAGATAATATTTGAACTGGAATTGTAGTCAGTGAATGCATTTAACACACTTTGGTCTATTGAAATTGAGAATGTCTAAAACTTGGCTGCAAATCTTCCTTCTTCTACTTGCTCATCCCACTTCTCAACCTAAACAAAATAAATAATAAAGCACATTTATTTTGGACACTTAAGCATGAAAAGTGAAACTCAGATAGCAACTATTCACCAAAAAGCATTAAAAAATACATTTTTACTTGCAGCCACTGTAAAATAAGTAACTACAACCTTGTTTTTTAATCAATTCAATAAGAAGGTCATGAGTAGATTGTTCTACTGAAAAATTTCCCGAAGAAGATAATTTGGTTGAAAGATGCATGGCTATGTGCATAGATAAAATCAATAATGAGATTCTATTGTAGAAATATATTTTTAAAAAATAATCAACAAAATGTTCAAGACCAGCTATAGTTGTTAGACTGTGTAATACAAGCAAGCATGTTTAACAAGCTTGTTAAATATCTCAAATGGGGGCCATTCACATAGTACATACACAGGACAGGGGGGTTGGCAAAAAAGTGTACGTTTGGCTACAAGGGGAAAAGTAAGTACACTAAATGTTTTTGATGGTGTTCTTCAAAATAAGTTTTGATCATTGGTTTAAAGTACAACCAAGGGGTGTGGTGCAGATCATTTTTGCAATTGGGCATAAATCTAGGTACAAATTTGCCACCAGTGTTATGGTTTTAATGGATCTAAATAACGTAGTCAGTTATTACGTATTTTCAGATATAACATACTGGTGTGCCTGGTCCTGGCAAAAGGTGTGATTGGTTTTAATAAATTTTTACTTGCCTTTGTTACAACGTACTTCGATTATAATGTACTTGATACGCTGGTCCCTTTCAGTATGTTATAACCAGATTATACTGTATGTCAAATGTGAATGACCCCACGGAAGGAATGCTAAATTAAGCTTTTACTTGCAAAGTGCCTTTAGGGAAAATTTCAAAGAGATCAGAACTTACCCAAGAAATGGGGCAGAGAGATCTGTATGTTCTCTTAAAAAATTCACATGGTTCATAATCTTCGCCTTTGTACTTAAGACACTTTTGATAATCAACAAAATTTTGCCAGCAGTTCTTTGTTTGGTTGCAGTTTGGGAAACGTGCATCAAATTTTGCAGTCTCTAACTTGATTTCAGGTTTGTCATCAGCCATATTTAACTAGAAAATAGTTTTAAATAACTGTTATCATCTGTTTAAATAACTGTATACATGCTGTCAAAATTATCAATGTTCCATTGTGGTTTGAAGAATGCTATTATTATCAGGACATATTTTGATAAAATTGATAAGCTGGGCTGGAAAACTTACATATGCTTGCAGCTACTACCAGACATGCATTTCTCTGGCTGGCACCTGGCCCACATTATCAAAAGAATCATGTATATTAAGATTATAACCATTGTTCCTTGCAGCTCAAATTCGGTATGGATTTCATGGCAATTTTCTTCAAGATCTCGAGAGTGCACAAGTTATTACCTGGGAGTGCACAGGTGCACTTGTGATAACTGTGCACATTTGAGTGTGCACCAAATTTTCCAGTGATTCTTGAGTTTGTCTATGTTCTTTTATTTTGGCAGTTTATATCAATTTTCCTTCACCGAGAAATTTAATGATTGACTAAGGTTTCCTACAACTACCATTCAAATTTTTATAGGTTTGGCAAGCAAAGTATTTTTAGTTTAAGAAAGAATTTTAAAAAGGCCAAAAGCATGATAATCCTTAATGATGGTCTGAAGCTTGGTAACAAAGAGAGTGATATGGGGCACATTGTTCAAGGACCTCAGGTCTAGGGTCAGTGGCAGACACCTTTGGGGGGGCAAGGGGGCAATCACCCCCCAAACCTTTAGAGGATAATAGTTTTCAATTCTGAAACAATAGGAAATGTGACGTTCATGTCAATAAAACAATAGGCTTGCATCCCAACATTTGACCAAGTGTCTGCCCCAGTTTAGGGTGCATCGTAAGGGTGCATTGTAAATCGTTTTAAAAGGATGCAAGAAAAAATGACCACAAGAATTATTCTGAGATGATTTTCAAGGCCATATGTCGAATCAACAGTTGGCTAATAAAACATAAGCATTTGGAATGGATTTCCATTGTTTCGTGACTTTTCATTTCTTCTTCTTGAATTTTTACTGTGGTAAAAATTCACCCTCCATGCTTTGTATTAAACAAAAAAACAAAAAATGTATTGCATTAGCCAATCATGTTCACGACAGATGCCCTTTAAGCTAATCTTATGGATGTTTCAGCTCACTTTGCTTGCAAAAGCATCATTCTTCAGTTTTGCCACTGAGCCTTTGACAAATGACCTGTTTTTTCAAACAATCCCTGAATGCAAAATATTTAGAAAGTCATTTTGCCATCTTAAAAAAACATGTTAATTTTAACCACATCCAAAGCCACTCCCATCACTTGGGTGTACTAGAGTGCACTGGTAATGTAATGGTAACGCAAGAGTGTCAAAAGGCTTGGTTCTTAGATTACAGCTGATAAAGGGATGTTGCTTGCACTGCACCAGCCAAGGTGAAGAATCTCGTTCGCATAATCTGATTAACCTCATGTCATACACATTGAGGAGTTTTTTGACTGCATCAATGAATCACAGGTTGCCTAGGGTCAGGGAACACTCTTCTAAAAATATGACATCTAGCAAAACATGGTACCTCTCTGTATTATTCATGTCTGCAAAATCATTACATGTTTTCCACTTAGTGACACCTTTCTAGGATGAAGCATCTGAATTTGCAGAAGCTACAGTATGTCAGATTTTAACCTATGATGCTGTTTCTGTTTGTTTCTTGCTTGTCCATAAGATAAACTTGTGCTAACATAGTGTTACATTATTGTTTGTGGCACTGATTGAGAAGTCTATTGTGTGTTTGAAACCTTGTTAGGCGATAAAGAATGTTTCATTAATTATAAAACATGCAGCAAATTGGAGGGGGGGGGGAGGGTTGGGGGAGGCAATGGGTTTCTTAGTTTCTCAAATAGCAGAGTACCTTCTTAACATAAAGAAGATTCTGGCTACAGAGGTTCAAGATAAAGCGATACAATTCTTTTCGATTCTAATTTTTCTTGCTTACGTTCTCAGGCTTGCGGTATTTCTTAACTTCAAGTTAGGCCTACTTGCTATCAATCAAGAAATGCACCTTGGCCTGTGATTGAGAATCGTCCACCGCAATTTGGTAGAGAAGCTCTGAAGATTTTTCCTGAAAAAACAAAAGTAATTGATACTTTAAAGGTAATTAATAACATACCTCTTTTGTACTTAGAAGGTATTATTTGACTGCTTTTCAGTAACGGATTTCCAGGCCAAAGCGACCGAAAGATTCAACGGGACAGACAAAAAGCCCGATTGGCATCATGGGAAAAATTGCAATCTCGCTCTTACATCGAGGCACAATGTAGA